TAGACTACCATTAGTAACTGTATAATATTCCTGCTATGTTTTGTAGCTGACTACAAATTATGCCTTGGAATGTATGGTATGCACAGGCTAGGGGTTCCCAACTGTACTCTTGTGCACTCACATGCCTGTTTGTTTTTTGCTCTGACTGAACATTTCGTTACATAATGCAGTTTACCTAACAATAGGATTAAATTGAACGTTACAGTTCCTCATCATCCGGAAAGTTCATTGCCTTTTAAACTGCTGCTTTTAATAATTAACATAATATAATCGTTAATATTCAGTAATCAGTAATATTATTTAATACATACTGTAAGTAATATATGTTACCTTCTATACTTCAATAAGTAATAAGTGAGATAGATAGATAGATAAGACTTTATTGATCCCGTAGGGAAATTGATCCCTCTTCATGTCCAACTTTGAATCTCCAACTTTGGAGTAGAAAAAATAAACTGGCAGTGCTTCCAATTAAGGAACTTTTTAGGAGCAAAGAGCTCAACTGGAACAGAAACCAGCCAGCAAGAGCCTATAAAACATCTTGTTGTCTCTACAAAAGAACCTTTCCTCTTCAAATAAGAAAGCCACCCATGTTTAAAGAGCATGAAACTCTCTGAATCTTGTAAATTGGAATACTTCTATTCTTCTATAGAAGACCTGAATACCTGTAAATTGTTTTGCCCTTCTAATTTCAGTATATTCATGTGTTATACAATGGTGTTCAGCATAAAATTGGTTAAAAACAGCTTTCAATCTTTACCTTCAACAGTGAGTGACAGTAGCTACAAAGTAAAAAATAATATTTAAAAAAATGCAGTTTTTGACCAGCTTTGACCAACTGCAGCATATCAAACCAGGTATGAGAAAAATAATATTTACAGTATAGCTCTAGGAAATAGCATTGCTGTTTAGAAGGGCAAACAGACCACGAGGAAATATGATTGTACACGATTTAGTAGAGAAACATTAGTCACACTTTCCCACTGACGGCTTCCTTCATATTGCAGAACCCTTGGAATCTAGGCCATCAGAGGGATTTTAGACTGACTTAACAAGCTGGGGTATGAACACAGCATTCCCTGAGGGTTTTATACCTACTTTGAGATTTGAAGGTTAGCATGGTGAGTAGAATATAAAGATTCCAAAATGTTAGGTATCTGCAGATGTCTGTTTATGAATTACAATTGTTAAATTGAAAACTCATCAGAGTAAATATCCAACTCTATGCTTTAAATGGATCACACAAAGACAGTACAGACCTAATTATGTTTTTGGAAAAAGCACTTTTAAAAAGGAAACCCTGAACACAGCCCCTGGTAAAGAAAAAAAGCTCTTCAAAGCAGATCAGAAAAGAAAATCAGCCAACCTTGCTACTGGACCAGCCTTCAATCAGATTGTGCTTTGCTTTCATGTATCTTTTCTTGTCATTATTTCCATTTTGGCCCGCGTCTATATTTGCAGTTCTTGTTCATGTTTATCATGCTACTGCAGTGGGTGATGGCTTTCATTCTAGTAAAAGGATTAGCTCCTGCATTTACGACTGAATAAATGTAAGGAAAGGCTAACTTAAACAGAGTCTGTTCTTATGTCTGTTTTAACACTGAATATAAACAGTAGGATTCCCGTATCTACTGCATATCTATCTGAGCTTTTCTTCAAGGCCATGGAGCCACTGAATTTAATTTGAAATCTGCATATTTTATCTTCGTCAGGTTGAATTAAATTTACAGATGAGTTAAGATTTACTGTGCTCACCATATATTGCACATTCTGATGCACAACCAAAATGCAAAAAAAGTGCAATTTAACATCAAAGAACCACTGGTGGCATTTGAAAACTGCTGTGCGTGATAAATAAGGTGTGATGTGATTGAATGTAATGCTGTGTTGTATTCTTTTCTTGTGATAGACATTTACTACGTGAAAATGCAGGATTGCAGGATTTGCAAAAGTGGTTAATTCATGATCAACACTATTAAAGGTGGACTGTCTGTGTGACACATTGACTGAGATACACTGCTTTGACAATTAAGAAGCTTATCCAGAAAAAAAAACAACACAAAAACACTAGGGTTGAGAAATGTCATGTCTTTAGAGTGCAGTGGTAATAGAATAAGAGAGTGCAGAAAGAATGCTTTGACCATAGCAAACTCTCTGCTTAAAAACTCTGTACATATCTGGGTAAGGAAATGTCTTGATGTTAAACATGGAAATAATCAGCTTTTGTGAGTCAGGCAGAATCTGAGGTGACAGAAAAGAGACTGATGTGTTTTATCCACTCAGGAATGCACCCTTGATTGTACTGCTAGAAGACAACATACTGTATTTGAAGGTGTTGTGACAACACTGCTATTGCATTGTACAAGCCAATTGATGGGTGGTGTGTCTTTCAACATGAAAATGACCTTGATAGTCCTTGAAAGTAGCCTAACAGGAGTAATACCAGAAACGGGCATCTCGTTCTTTTCATTCTGATAGTCTTTATTATTTAAAACAAAATAAAAAACTGACATCATCAAAGAATGTATTTTTTTGTTTCAAATCTGATTATAGTAACAAGAACGAGGATTATACCTGATAAGAATTAAATAAAACATGGCTTTGCATTTCCATTTCTCATTACTATATGTTAATTAAAGTGCATTTATGACTTTTGGAGTAATCTTCTCATTCATTTGATTACAATTTGCACCACTATGCATTAGGAAGAATTTAGCAAAAGTACAACCCACCTAGGGGATAGAGTAGAGAAATAGGCCTCTGAACTAGTTGTAGATTCAAATCTCAGGTACGGGCGCAGTTGTCATACTTTGAGTTAGGTACTTTACCCTGACTACCTTACTCTATCCAGCTGTACAGTAAAATTGGTGCTTGCTGGCGGTAGGAAATACACTGGTGTTTCATCTGGCTAAGGGAGTCTTATGGTCTCTGTTCACTGAATGCCTTGAAAACCTGAATGAACTCTTGTTTTGAACTTGGAATTACTGTACCTACCTATGTATATTTGCTTGTGTTGTTGTATGTTTGTTTAAATTTTCTCCTTTCACCATATCAGAATTGTAGGCATTTTCATAAGTATCTTCAGATGGCTACAGTAAAAAAGAAAAAGAAAAACAACAGCTGCTAACAGGTGTTGTCTAGTTTTATCTTATTAGTTTTCGGTTATGAAGACTGCATAGAGGATTTTAATTAAACCAATAGGGAATTACTAAATAGAGTTCAAGCTATTGCTGATTTGCAGGATAACTGAAGGTTGTTGTTGTTATTTGTTTCAAGAAACAAAAATTGTTTTGCCCTGAAGAGTTTATGAAGAGTTATGTTTTCTTGTTCATTCTGTGGAAAACCTAGATCAAGGCTTCCCAATCTGCTCTATGACACTTCCTTTTCATTCCTTTGTAGTATTTACTGCAGACATCAGTTCATTTAATGTGTTGATCCTATTTAGTATCAATTAAAGAACTGGGAATCAGGTTGCACTGACGCACAGCTATGGTACAGATAGCATGGGCTGCAATCTAACAAGACAAACTGTATGTTTGATCATAATCATAAAAACACATTAGAGAGTGATGGACCCTGTTTTTGTCACGAAACGTTTTTTTCAGGACCATATGCAGACAATAGAATCCAGAAAGGGAGTGGAAAAAACGCGGGGAGAGAAGACAAGGAACGGGGCCAGTAGACGAACAAGAGGGCGTGTCAACAGTGCACTGGTGCTCGGGGGAGGCGTGGTCCAAGCGAACAAGTCCAAAGGGAGTCCGTAGGGAGATCCAGGGTGAATTAAAGTCCAGAGCAGGGTAATCCATCCATGAGAGGCGAGACGAAAGTTAAAAGCCGGAGCAGAATCCAGTGAATGGTCGGGAAATAAAATAAAAACGGATATGTATCAGATATTTATGAAAAAAGATAGTTGTATTTTGGTGAAAATAAATCTATGGTTTTGCCTTGTTTCTTTTTCAGTACTCGACAACTTTCAAATGCCCCTTTTTAAAAAAAATCCTAGCAATATTCCTTAGTGCTACCCACACACTAACGCTCATAATTAAAGTACTGGAGTCGACATAAGCTATTTACGTTTATAGAGAAATTTAAGTGAAAAATATCCTCATCCATGTGACTGTACCCTTATGTTTGTACATGTGTGTTGATGGAGTGAAGCAATGTTGTTTCTATGCATTTTCTCCTGATTTCCCTTCTAGGGATAAACATTTTAATATGTTAACCTTCTATCGGAAGGTACAACTCCCAACTGTGAATTCTGTGACTGCTTCATGTGAGGGATCAGGTTAGGTCTGGATTAGGGTATGGAGTTATGGTTATGTAACACTGTAACTTAAATTATTAATTTAATTTTAACTGAATTTACCATATTGTAAAATGCACATTTAGAAAATAACATGATACTTATTAAGCAGGCTGATATCGTTATGCTGACCTTGCAACAATGACCAAAAAAGCCACAATGATGAAGAGAACCATGACTGAAGAAATAGAAATCCTGATTGGAATTACTACTCAAGAATTCCATCTCTTTTAACTTTTACACTACCCATGCTCATATTATCTTCAATTTGATCTCCTTTCCTTCATATTCCTGCTCTCTCTCTCATTCTCTCAAACACCTGAAGTATTGTACAGTCCTCAGCCAATTTATTTTTGTTTTTTCTTCTTTATTTTAAACGTTTAATGTGGAATTGCCCTGTACTTATTTCTTTGCGGCTCATACACTGCCCTAGCTCAATTAATTCAATTGTAAAAAAAATGCAGGCAGGCATAAAGGCATGACATTCATAACATACTGTTTGTATTCTGTGGAATTCATTTTCTGATGTTAACGAGATCCATGCAATATTCATAAATTCCACTAGACGCCACTGTTTCCGCGTTTGTGAAAAGAAGAGCGGACTCTGTGGCGGCTTTACGTCAGTCCGAAGGTACTCGAAGATACTCGAAGATTTCCGATACCAGAAACTTCGCGAAGTTTCCCGAAAGGCCCCGGTAATTTCCGGAAGTATCTGTGCAAACGAATGGAGTGCGGTGCGGCTACTGTTTGTGTCTTCTAAGCACAGACCCCTCTGCTTGGGCCGTTGTGTGATTGTTTTTGTGATCTGATACGTAAAGTTCGGGTCGTTGTGGTGTGGTATTTTTTTATCTTTTTATAACAACGTTGCTGCTTTTAATAGGGATTTGTTAAATTCCGCAGTTTTTTTATGATGTCTGTGCTGTGTTATAATAAAGGTTGCGGACAGCGCTTTAACCCCGAGGATAATCCTGATGGTAAGTTCACGTGTGTTAAAATATACAAGAATACGATAGGGATGCAAATGTTTTAATTACTATTATTATTATTATATTAGTTTTATATTTTGACTTCGCCTTTTAGGTTACTTAGTAACAGTTACTGGTGACATCAGTTTCCATCTGCAGCAAGCATGTGTTATTTTAAAAATGTGTTTTATGCGTATGTAGCGTTATTTAACGAGATATTTAATTATTTTGAATTAAACATCTATCGGTCTTTTAAATTAAGTTCAGTATATCAAACATACTGTTAGAAAATGGTAAACCGGAAGAATTTTCTGGAAAGGTCATCCCGATTTTCAGCAGCTAGTTTCATTTACTGGCACAAAATAAGCCGGTTTTCGATGTGCCTTGGTTATTTGTAAAGGAAAGTTATAAGAAACTCGTGTAATATAAACGTTTAACAATGCATTATGATCATATGCCCTGATCCCACGTGTGGTCAAGGTTGAATCTAAAATTGGGTAATGTGATCTGATTTTTTTGTACTCTTGCAATATGTGTGTGTGTGGGAGGGATCGAATGCATTGCAAATCTTTTTTAATTTTCATTACCCAGCTGATTATATTATATAGCTGGGGAGTTTTAGGGTTAATATGTCAGTCGACCAGATTCAGGACCGGTTAGTAATTCCTGATGTTTCAAGTAAAGACCAACCTAAGTCTGATTGTAGCATTGTCGAAATAACGAATGAATGAGGTTGAAATATACCTGAAAGGTGCGTTAGTATCCTGACTGAAGCAGTGTAAAAATATGAGGGTAATATTTTGCATCTGCAGTACTGAAGTCCATGTGATGTTAATCAATGTACTCTAGTGTTTTCCGATTATCTACTGTTTATTATTTCTGTTCTAGATGGTTGTACGTATCATCCTGGAGTACCCGTGTTTCACGATGCCTTGAAGGTTTGTGTAAAAAAGTTTTCAGACTGCACTAAGCTTTTTAAAGCTTGAAGCATGATTTTTTTACTGTAGCATCTTCTTTTTGTCTAGGGGTGGTCTTGCTGTAAAAGACGGACAACTGACTTTTCAGACTTTTTGAGCATCCCAGTAAGTATATTGTCTTTGATTCAGTACTTTGTGACAGAACTTAATTGAAAAGTGTTGGACAGTGCCATATCAAGTATTAAAATACAGTTATTTTATCATTTTGATTCTGATTATAAAAATTAAACCAAATAGTCTGAGACGTTCAATCCAAAATCTGTGCAGTTAGTATAAAGTGAAATGGAAGATTTAAGAGTGATATAACCCACATCAGTAAGAGATGTGTTACAGTTTTGTAACGCATTCAAAACTGTCTTAAAGACAGATTTTGAGTGAAATATTTATTGCTTTCATTTTCAGTAAGTCAATTTGCTATACCTTTTTCTTCTGTTGTGTATTATCTGTGGTGTTGTATAGCTCCACGAATTTCTTGAAAATACAATTTGCTCATAAATAAAATTATTTCAAGTCTTTCAAGAAAAATTAATTGTGAAGGTGAATGTGTCCCTTTATAATTTTTTTCAAGGGTTGTACAAAGGGTCCTCATAACAAGGAGAAGCCTCCTGAGCCTGTTAAGACAGAAGATAAAAAAGATTCAACAGAGGATCTAAAATCAAAATTCAATGAATATGTGATTCAGGGCCCAAAACCGGTAGAAAGTTTCCAAAGACCAAGGTAAAGGTTTCTACATCCTAAAATCTAAGTACTTTTTGATACTTTTTGGTTTTCTGCTTATAAGTTGTCACATAGTCATGTACAAAATATTTCTTATTTTTTCCTTTACAGTGCCGATGAGCCATTTGTAAGGCTGCAATATAAAGTTTCACCTTCACTGAAACAGGCTTTAGAAAAATTAAAACTCTCAGAAGTCAATGATCAAGAAAAGTCAGGTAAATGGTAGCACATTTTTTAATGTAATAATTCTTAACATTGTGAAAATATTTGTGTATTAACACTTGTTACTTTGCCATTTACTGTATAACTAAATAAAAAACATTTTTGTTTTCAGAAAACGAGGGAGAAGAAGTGAAAATTGGTACATCGTGTACAAATGGAGGCTGTTCAAAGGTAAATGCGCACATAGAAGAAAATATAACTTTGAAAACATAGTAACAAGGTACTTTTCTTGATATTTGCAAGTGTTGTAAAATAGAGAAATTTAAAAAATAATGTCTATAGAGGAACTAAAGATATAAAACAATCAATTTTGAGACCAGTTCCAGTTTTTCAGTTACAATTTTTATTTTTCAGTCTATTTTGAATTCATTTTATACATTCACTATTGGAAAAATTGGCAACAGGAATTGGTTTGAAGAGAAAACTGGAATTGTCCTAGGAAACTGGTTACTGGTTTGTGCATTGGATATAGTTCTGTTTTTCTGTTGGATTTTTGGTTCACTTGTCATTTATTACAACATAAGAAATTCAAAGCAGAAACTTAACCAATTCTTTCTGATTCATGTGTCATCTCTTTACATATTTGTTTTCTCTCTGGGTAGTGGGAAATCCTTTAGGATTTTGTCACTAGGCGTAGTTTAGTAATATCTAAGTTTCCTGTGTTGGGTTTCAACTTTATAGACTTTTGCTGGGCCGGAAAGCAATGAGGAGACCTGTCTATATCATGCTGGAGTACCTATTTTTCATGAAGGGTAAGACACCCCCTTTGGGCAATGAAATTTAAACACAAGTTTTTCTTTTTGAAAATACAGAAAAGTTTCATTAACTGGTTACGATTGTTCGAAATGCTTATTTTGTAAGTACATTAAAGTAAATGGGTGATTATGCAATTCTGAATTATTTGAAAGTACTCGCAAAAAAAGTGCAGTCTCTTAACGTAGTATAGTAGTAAAGCAGAGATGAACATGAAACGTTCAGTAGTTATACTGTGTTTATCTTTCCTCTGCTTTCATAACATTTCTTTTTGATGTCAATACTTTAATATTGTCTAAAGCAGAAGAAGTTACAGCTTGTACCTTACGTCTGTTCAGATTACTGGTGAAAATCAAAACAGTTATTAAAATTCTGAAATAGCTTATTTTGGTAAAACAGGGGGCATAGCTGTGAATGTATTACATAAAGTAAGTCAATGCATGGTGTTCTTTGAAAGGATGAAGTACTGGAGCTGCTGCAAGAGGAAAACCTCAGATTTTAACACCTTTTTGTCTCAAGAAGGCTGTACAAGAGGAAACCACTTCTGGAGAAAAAAGGACTCTGTAAGTGTTTCTGTGCTTGTATTCTCAGGGATCTTCACTGCCTTTTTACATAGTATTTTATTAGTTAGACATTTGTGTACTATTTGTATGACAAGATAATGGTAGGAAATACACTTAAGTTATATCACACTATTATCACTTACTGTTTGCTAAACAATTACTACATTTATACTTACCAATTGTTAACACGGTGTCAATCGTTTGTATAAGAGAGAAATGACTGACATTACTGACAATTAGTGACAATTACTGTAGGTCTTCTGGGCGAATTTAAAGACTGATTTCAAACAGATTAATAGAGATCATTGTAGCTTTTTCTTTCATCTTAAAAAATATTGATATCTTGTTGGCAAAGGGAATGTTTGCAGAAGACGTTCTGTCATAACTTTAGAAATTATTTTGTTTCAGGGGAAAAAAATTGTGCCCTGTAGATTTGACTGGCATCAGACTGGAAGTCAAGTGGTAATTTCAATCTATGCCAAAAATGCTGTCCCAGAACTGAGCTACGTGGAAGGAAATAGTACTGTGGTAAGGGCTGCTTATACCTAATTATAATTTTTTTAAAAACAGTTAATAGGCAAGTGACATTTTGTGAGTTATCACAGTCCATTTCAAGAGGTCAGAAAACTAACTTTAATTTTATTTCCTAATTAAAATATTTTTTGTATTACAGCTAAAAATTCACATCATATTTGAAGGCGAAAAGGAGTTTGATCAAGAAATTAACTTATGGGGTGTAAGTATATTTAAGTTTTATTAGTACCTAATGTCTGGACACTTGTTTCCATACTGTCTATTTAAAAGTGTGTAAACCACTTGAAGATGGATACCTCTTCGATAATGAAATCTATGGAATGAGAGTAAGTACCTTTAATTTCTGTTTTGCAAATGCTGTTTTGTGTTATGTTTTAAGGTTATTGACGTGAAAAAATGCGTTATGAACATGTCGGCTACAAAGATTGAAATCGCCATGAAGAAAGCAGAGCCAATGTCATGGGCCCGACTGGATCTGCCTCCTGCAAAGATCTTGCAAAAGGAGAAAGACAGTGAAAACGGTGATGTTGACGATTAGTCCAGTTAAATCTACTGTATATGGTGGAGAGCGACCTTACATCAGCAGTACAAAGATATAGCAATGTTGTGCAGTGCTATAGTGACTTAGTTCAAACCCAGATGAGGCTCAGAAGTCTGAAAACATTGCAATTCAAAAATCAGACTTAATCATTTAGAGCATCGAACTGAAAACTAGAGACATTATCTACAGGTTACCACAGCACCTCTGTAGTTCAGGTCCATAAGTCTAGGTTGTATCATGGGAGCAAAAGTCTTTACATTACCATCATTGTTACATAATACTTGCATTTTATATTTCTTTTCTGTGCCCTTTGATGCCTTTTTCTACTTTAGTTATTAGTGTAACAGCACGGTTTAGTTTCCAATAACGTGACTTACAAGATTTTGTTTAATGCCTTCTTAAAATGGATTTTCACTGACTGAAGTTCTTAAATGATTGCAATCAGACATTTTTTAGATGTTTTCTTTTTGTATTTTCAATAAATGGGTCTAAAACAATATTAGTGATATGTAGGCTGTACCCAACAATTCTTTTGGAGAATTCAGATCTCTTAACTTAAAATGTTGACCTCTCAGACTTGTACTCAAAATGCATCAATTGGTCTGGTTTATATTAATGCATCTTTTTCTGCCTTTAGCTAGATTTTAAACCTAAGTGGGTCTTCTCTGCTGGTGTGCTTCTGTCAATTGTTAAAATTCAAATTAAAATCCAGATTAAGCTGCATATTTAAAAAATAAACCTGCAAAGAAAAAAGTCAAAAAGCATCTGCTATTGTCTTATATATTTTGTTTTCAGCTTATTTGTTTTCAGTCGTATTTACATTTCAGAATTTCTTCTCGAGTTTGAATAACTTGGGATTTAACAAACTTAGTTTGATTACAGTTATTGAATGTTAAGTCAGTGAGAATGCATCTGGTAGGTCTGCATGCCCTAATAGCGAGTAATACAGTCATGCTGGAAAATGTAATTCTAAAATTCTATGCTGTACCTTTGCTTGAAGTTTTATATTTTTCCTGTATTGAAAAGCATGAGGAATGGTTAACAACAAATGCCAGTATTTTCTTTGTGTGGAAAATATGTTGAAAATTGCTAAATGTCTTACTTAAACCCCATTTAAGGTTTACCTAGAATATTACCAGGAAGGCCTAGAATACAGTGGCTTTCAGCACAATGTATTATCAGGGTAAATTTGTATATTGCAAAAAGTACTAAGTTATTCTCTGAAGATGTCCTCATGTGTTTCTCATTCCTTTCTAGCATGTAAACATGTACTGTGTGTATTTTATGGACCTAAGAACCTGATTTTCTTGCAATTGGTTTTTAAAAGCTGTTTCTTTCTACTTCAGATTAGTTTATTTTTCCTACAGCTTATACAAATAAAATATCATTATATTGAAATATTTGATTGCTTACTAAGTAACTAAATCTGTGGTGTTTTTTCAGTGTTTTTTTCCTCTTAATCAGTAGAACTGAACATTAATCCTCAAAAGAAACAGTAGCACAGATGACTATAGAAACGTTCCTCATAGTGGAAGCAGTTGCGTGCTGAGAATTCAATTTTTAAAAAAGCATTTGCCAGGCTAAATCAAAGATAGTGTAGATGGCACCAACACGTTTAACCAGTAATCTGTACTGTACGTGTTTCCGCTTTTTTACAGTACAAATTAGCATGAAGACGAAAAATTGTATTATGCTTAAATTCAAATCGCCACTGCTGCCAAGTATCATCATATTTATATTGAGACAGCACTACAAGGATTTACAAGAATTTATTTCAATGTTGATGAACACCAAAAGTGTTTGGAGACCTTTATAGTGTAAAACAAAAATACAGAAGAGAAAAGTGGAGCAGAGGTGGAGAAAATGAGGTGATAGTAATCTGTCAATAGTGGAGAATAAAAACCTCAGAGTGGTCTAATTAACAAGGGGCTCAGAGACGTGTCACTATTAAGAGTTTAGTTTTTTTCTGTATGGTTCAGCATATCTTGCCAAATCTGTTTATGAATTTCTCATTTAGTCTGTTTCACAGGTTTTTTTGGCTTTGTAATGTAATGGCTTTGAGATCGTGGCTGTGATATGCAGTTTTCTGTCTGCATCATCACTTTAAGTATTAAACACGAGTGCCTGCATGTATACTGTTTTGGGTAGAAAGGATATTTGTTTTTAAACATTAAATTATCTCCCAAGAAAGGTTTTGGAAAGAGAAGATGTAGGTGTAAATATTAGATTATAATTTGAAATATTGAAATACTCTGTATAAAATAAATTTACTGTTTGAAAAATTAATTATAGGAAATTTTAAATGTAAATGCAAAAATGTTTCATACTTGTATGTCTAAAGTCATTTAAAGCATATGATTGTGAATATGGCTAAAAAAGGATCTAGGTAAAGCAAGGAAAATCCTTAAACCCCTCAACAAGCCCAATGTCTTCTATGGTGACGGACCATTGCAACCTTAATCTTCCTCTCAGTGGGACAGTAGGCCAGTTAAGTACTTGCTGGTGCATTTTTGTACAGCTGGATGGAATGAAAAGGTCATAGTATGAAATCAACCTTAATATTCACAGTGGGGTGCTGACCCAGTGATTGTCTTTGGCAAGAGATCCCAAAACCCATCTGGTGTCCCAAACCACTCCAAGTACAAGAATTACATACAGTATATAAAAAATCCTAAAAATACTTAAGGAACGTCGGTCATAATGCAGGTTAAAGTTACGTATTTCCATTAAAAAATACTATTTAAATCACAATCATGTGATGACCCAGTTACAGCAATAAAATAAAATTTTATTTTTTCTATCACTTGCTGGTGAAAAGGTTTCTGCATCTGTGATGTCACAGGGAGAATATTGAAAACTGAAAACAACAGTACTCTTGACTGAATGCTGTACTTCCGTTTGCATTATGGTCCTCTCAGGCTGCAGGATTAAGAGTCATTGCTGCAGCATGTACTGTGAAGGCTGCAATGCTGATTTGCCGTTTGACCTCTTCCCAGGCACTGGGTGGATCTTTAGCATTTTCGATATCAAACATAGCATCGTAGATTCCTGGGAATGACTCCCCTGCATATTTATTATGGGCACTTGGAGCAAATATAATGTGCCTATAGGATAAAAAATAGCTATTAATGTATCATTAATGCATTCACATAAAGTTGGCTTGCAAACATTTGTTTATGAAACATTTTATAAAAAGGAGAGAGCCACTTATGATCAAAATTAAATGAATAACACAAAGGAGATGAAAAGAGTAAAAATTAGGCAATGTCCTCTCGATTTTTTTTTTTTAATATTAATGCAGAACATTCCATCATCTTCCTGCAACCACGCATGATAATTGAAGCTTCCGGCAAAAGTGTAATTACAAGAAATGTACTGAGAAAAACAGCAGGGAGCCTCTGTCGACACAACGTTTTCAGGAAGGGTTCCTACCTGTAAAATGGCCTTCCTGGCAATCCAAGAGGATCCACAAATGCTCTTTCCAGATACATAAATTGATCGTTTACTATCCGGATTTCAAGAGGACTAAAAAAGAAAATGCAATACAATATAAAAAAGCTTTAAAGAACATCACTTTACCTATATAGTCCTAGTTATAATTACTGGTATCAGTGACGTTTAAATTACTTAAAGGGAAAATGCAGTCCCAAGTTCTCTGACCGTTTACTGAATCTAGGTAACAAATTGTCAGTATTGCATAGGAAAGTATAATATCCTATTGTATAAATGGGTGCACATTTAAGTTGCTTTGGTTAAAACATCAGCCATATAAACTACTTTATCATTTAAATTACTCAGTTTACCTTCTCAAACAACACTATAATACCCCATTATGAATTATATGCCTGTGAAGATGGGACTGAGAACTAGCTGCCAAAAAAAGCTAAATCTTACTTGGTCATGTCCAGGACCTTGAGACGCTCATGGAAATCTGTTGCAGCTCTTGTGAAGTTTTCAACTGCAGAAAAAAGAGGACCTGCCCCCCAAAAAGACAGATAGGTGGTTTTAGTTATTTGAAATAATAGAGAGATTAGATCAGGGCTTTTGGTATAATATTAGAATTGGTCATTTTGCATTTAGCCACTAGAACATAGAAAAAGCATATCACAAGAATATGCAAGATATATAATAATAAATATATTATAATATACATATAAATCACAAGCATATACAAATAAAATTATTTATGGGAGTCTGGTAACTGACCGAATGAAACCTTGTATTTGAACAGTTCAGCCTGGTGTTTCAAAGCCAGCTGACATATGCTGTTGGTATATTTCCACAAGGCTTCTGCATACTCTTTGCAGTCCATCGGAAGAACCGGGGAATCAGCCAGCTTAAAGACAAGGCCTCCTCGGACCTGTGCCACAGCAAGCAGCTTCTTAAAGGAAGGATCATAAAACCTCTTCACCAGTTCAAATGTTTCATAGACACTGTGGTACACAGGGTAACTGCTGTACTTCTCGGTTTTCTGAAATACAGAAAATATTGAAAAGGGAACATATTTACACATAGTTCAAGGCAAATATGGAGAAGGGGACTATATATTTTAAAAAAATGTAAAAAGGTGGCATACAATACTGTGTTTATAATGAAGCATTATATACGTTACATGCATATCTTATCCTTAAAAAAAGATAGAGTCCAGTACTCTTACTCTGTTTTTAGTGTATCTTGCCCGCCCTGAAGCAACTCCAAGTCTTATAAAATACGCTTCAAAGTCACTGCCAGAACCAAGCTTGCTAATCCTGAACAAAGAGAATAAAACATGACATGTTTCATCCTGTCACTAATATATAATTCATTAACCTTTTTTCACTAACAACCAGTATTAGTAAAATCAAATTATTTTGGATTTATTACCTCAGTAAAAATAATAAAGCTTATTTTACCTTGGTGCATCTCGGTCCTCTGTCCAGTTATCTTTTTTATGCCAGCTCTCATAGAGAGATTTGCCCTGATATTCCTCATCGGGACTAGCAATCTATAGAAATCATACATGATTATATAAAAAAGATACACAATACATCCTAACTGGATGGATTTTAATTCATTTTGTATCTGCTTCAATTAATGTAAATCTTAATCATAAATAATTTTATGAACAAGTAATGTACTGAAGAAATTGCCCCAATAAATAATAAAAGGGCAGACGTCCAGAGATTTTTGTTCTATGTATGTAAATATTTTGCTCTATAATATAGTCAACAATGGAGACATTCTTTTGAAAGTATTTAAAGAATTACATATCTATAACTTTCAGACATTATATTTGTATAGAACCAGAAATTCATACATCACTAAAATATAGCATTCTTGCAACCAGAAACAGAGCAATTAAATTTAAAAGTTTTCAAAGTTGCGCCAATAATGGACTGATTAGTCTCAGAGACAGCTTCATATATCCTTAATATCATGACTATGAAACCTGAATGTCACTTGAGAATTTTCTCTAACAATTAAAATAGAAATAACTGCAGGTTATTGCTTGTTTAGTAAATATATGGTTAACTCAATTGTTGAGTATTCTCATCTCAGCAACATTTGCCCAATATTGAGTTTCTAATCTTGCCTATTTCTGCTCTCCTATATACAGTACATTTATCACCTTCTGCAATTCACTCTGTGCACTTCTCTCAAACCCTCCAATCTACACTCTTGCAGCAGCTCCTTGGCTCATTCCTTGCAAAAGTGAGGGGGGAGTTCAGACTGCCATTCTCTTAGCAAGACGATTATCCCTCAGAATCCTCTAATACATGTGTCCCTCTATCGCATTCATTAGGATCTAACCAAATTCATGATCCAAAAAGTTGTACTGCCAGATAATTAGATGTGCTCTGTGGTTACCACATGCAAACCCTTCACTTAGCATTTAGAAATACTGTAGTATGTTAAAAGAAGTGATCTCTTAAAGACAATAAAATATGATAATACATTTATTGTCTGACTTCTCAGAATTGATTTGCATCAAAGTAGCTGTTTTACACACAGAGAAAAACTTAGAAAAACATACAAACAAGTTAATGTTACATTAAAAATAAATCTTACATTACATAACATCAACCTATATACAATTATTTCAACCACTTCAACTGGAATCCACACATCTACTCCAAAACCTGTAATTTAGTCCTCAAGTTTTGGGGCCATTCACTTGTCATTGGTTTTTGAGAACCAGTTCAAGTAAAAGTGGAAAAGTTAATCACAGACTTTATTTTTCAGTGGAATAAATACCAAGTATGGTAGACGTGTAATTACTCCAAAAGTGCAGAGTTACCTGTTTGGTCAGGTCATATACGAGAGTGTGCAATGATGGTGTGCAATCAACCCTCAGTGTGTAATTACCTGAAAAATATCAACCATGTCAGCAACAAACACACAGCTTGAGATGCATCAATCATCCCACAATACTTAAGAGGACTGAGCTTAGCTGAAACACACACATCTCTTTGAAGCTTCAGCTGATACTTAAATACATTCACATACTACTTTCCTGTAACTTCAGACTAAGAAACAGAACAAAATAATCAAAAAGCAATACATAACCTTCTAACCTTCTATGGCAGAATCAGCATTAATGTAAGCCACTCCTCTTTCCTGCAAAAGTTTTGCATTTTCCTGTCATAGAAAGAAATTGATAAAACCAAGTTTAAAGTCATACAGTAGCCTTATAATTAAACTGTTTTATTTTGCCCATTTAATGACTTGTCCAAATAGAAAACATTGATATAACAACAGCTAGCATGAACATTATTATATAGAAGCAAATAATAATTTTAATGTACATGATCAATGCTTATAAAGTATACAGTAGAAGCACAATACAGTAATTTTATGCCCTTTTCAATGTCATTAAGACACTACAGTATATTTGTTTACAGGCATTCCAGAATTTCATTTAAATAATCACAATTCAGGGTAACTAATGTCTTCATTTTAAATTAATCGTGTCTGCCAATGTACGTAACAGTCTCACTCCCCAAGACCGGATCAATTTTGCATCTAAAAAAAAACAATAAATGTTAGGGGCAAACAGGCCTGTCTCTTACAGTATTTGTTTTTGGCTCAAAAATGCTTGGAACTGATATAAAATACCTCAGCCCACTCTGTGGAGCCTAGCAATCCAAATTCTTCAGCATCCCAGCTTGCAAAAATTATTGATCTTCTGGGTCTCCACCCTAAACACATAAAATGTTACTACACTGTAATAATACTAAAATACTTTTTTTCATAGAACATTTAGAAACTAAAGGCTGAAACGTAGAATGAAAATAGACATATTTCTTGAAATGTGGAGGGACTAATATTCCTAAGGTTTTGCTGGGCGCCCAACGGCACATTGGTTTTGCTTCATAAAGAGGAAAGAGCTTTGTCCCCCAACCCTATCCCTCCCTTCGAGTTAAAAAACCTGAAGTTCGTAATAGCTTGGAGAACCACCCCACCATTTGACCCTGCGGCAAAAAGGTTTCAAAATCCAATAACGTTTTTTTTCCCCTCTTTGTTTTATGAAACTGAACTAACCTTTTTTGACAAGCATCCCTGCACTTCTTACAGTTTCATGGACAGCTGCTGCTCCAGTAGTTGGATCAATTCCTCCAAAGACCCACGCGTCACGGTGACCTCCCAGGATGACATACCTGTCTGTGAATACAAGACTACACTACTTTGTACCCAGATAACTGTCAAATGTCCTTGTGACACAGGTAAAGTACTCTGAAGGTTATTGAACATATAAGTGAACAATTAACCTCCTTGGTACCGTACAAACAGTATTTTTCAGTGATTCCATTTGCCTCTGATGGAACAGTCCAGACATGTCCCAGTCTCATTCTACTAGACCTGGGTGGACAAGAATAACCTGTCACGTTATGTAATAGTTTAGCTAGCCAGCTTAGCCCAAGCATGTAATAATATGCAACAGAATTGCATATTTTTGTGTTAGGCTAATTTGCACCATAAAATTAAGTTGGAGGACAGTAGGACTTCAGTTCATTATTTAAAGATCAGAGATCAGACTGTCAAGTGACCCAAGGTTCTGTATGGATAACAAAGCCATAGGATGTATGAATAGACTTAGGTGTCCAAAAGTGGAGATGCTGAATTAAGAATTAAGAAGATTCTTGAAAGTACTACCTGGCTCCATTGCTCCACGGATTTTCCCAATGACATTGTATATTCTTGTGACCTTATTGTTTGTGAAGATGTTCATTTTCACTTTTCTGCGTAAGAAAAGAATCGTTTTAGATAGGGAAGCCTAACAACAAAATAAAAAATACACATTCTGAGATTGAAAACAATATGCAGTTTTATCTAACCTTTTTGTAAATAGGCATACAACTTTCTGCAGGCCTTTTTCCACCCCCTCAAATACAAAATCATTAACATTATACAATGCAAGATAAGCACCATCAGTTGTTATCATACACTTTCAGTTACATGTTTTTACAGTTTCTCTTTACTGTAATTATCTTTGCAGTTTAATAAAAGTCTGCAAATGGATAACTCAGCTTAAGTGAACTTCAGTATGCTTTGTATCTTGAGTATCATTGAACTGTACATGTACAACAGATAAATACGTACAGGTCTTAGTACTCTAGTCACAGTTTCAGTTGTCTTCTCATACTGTATCTGTAACACTTTTTACCTTGATAAAAGTCCTGTTCTCAAAGTAATGAACAGGTATCACAGACAAGTTTCATACCTCAAGCCAATATTTTGCCTCTTTATAACAAAAAAGTTACAGAATTTTGTTAATAATTAAATAAATAAACATCTTGTGATTAAGGCTATAAGTTCTAGGATCATTCAGTTACAGTTACTCATATGACTAGATAACTTAAAAGGTAATGTACTGTAAGAAGTCACATGGCAGAAATATATTCTTTATTGACTGGCAAAGCTACCCTGCAGAATTTATTTACTAAGCTTAAAAAAGCTGTCCTTACTGTGTGGCAAACTCTCCAGCAAAACCAGGTCCAATTCTGTAGGAAACATTGAGGGCTCCCTTCCAGCTGTTAGGGGGAACTTCTCCACCCATATTCCTGTCAAAAGCCAATACAGAATAACACATAGTACCAGAGGAAAATATTTATGTCGCAATTTCACGACACTTTGAGAAACACCACTCTGGAGTCAAATTCTTAAAATAAAAACCAGTATGGAAAAAGTAGCATATTCAGTGTGAACAAAAATAATATGTTCTTTCTCACCCACCTGAGTAAATGCACAGCATCATGGTATCCAATGGGGTGAACAGGGATTTTAGGAAGACCCACTGCTTTATCTATACTGTATCTGTAAGTATATTCTGTGAAGAAAAGTGGATGTTCACTTGAGAAGGCTCCCATAAGAATAACACATTTCACTGGGTGCTGAATAAAAGAAAACATCACAAACCTATACAAAATGTTTGATGTTGTCATAATTTTTTTTTTAATTTATAAAATTTAAATTATGTCGCTATCTTTTGAAATCTAAAAGTCACCGTATCTTTGAGACTTTTCCAAAATTCTATTTTTGCTCCAGAGAAAACTGAGGATCAAATAGTAGTTTGTCAATACACTGTGATAATGACAATTCTGTTCACTTCCTCCTTTGCTAAAAGTGAAATAAAGTGAAGTAAAATTTAAGATTATATGGTAAAGCCTCTTGCCTGTCCTCTGCACTTGGACGGGTACTCTCTTTTGAAGGCCCCGCTCTTCACTAAAATTGTGAAGACCAGAATTAAAGGAAGATCTATAACTTCTTTACTTGTTTCTCAGGACCTACCTTTGGCTGGGTACCCTGGGGTTAAGGGGTCTCCTGCTCCATTGAGGTTTAACACATTCCCTCGCTGAGCTCCACCCCCTGGGAGATTCCACCCATTGGGGTAAACATCTACCCCTGGAGCACAGTAATCTGCTGGGTCTGAGAACAGGATGATACCCTTTGCACCGGCAAGAATAGCATTCTTCACCTAGAACACAGTAGAGAGACATTATAGTGTGGGGATCTTTGATGCATTGTAGTAGACTTCACTAGGGCTGGGGTTTGGAGGCTAGTGTGAATGACTTGTGTTATGCTGTGGATACAAGGCAGGCTGAGGAATCCAATTGCTAGGTCAGGGTGAAAGCAAGCAGACAGGCAGGGTGGAGGAAACACAGTTCAGACAGGAAGAATGGGGGATGAGCTGCGCAGACAGGCAAAATAGAGATTGTGTGCTGTGCACATCATCAGCGGCCGTGCAGCACACTGAATACAGAAGGGGTTCCCGGGTTTAAAGGTTCAGGTAGTTTCAGTAGGAAGGCTGGAGTAAACACAGACAAGCACTCCGAGACCCTCAGGGTGATAATCCAATGACAGAGGACAGGGCAGGGTTTAAGGATCTGGTGCTGATGAGGTAATTACCCGTTAAGTGTGGGAAAGCAGCACAGACAGCCTACCTGGAAGAGGTGTTAGTGGGGCCAGCAGGGGGCGCTCACCCTGCGGTCCATGTGGGTCCTAATGCCCCAGTATGGTGATGGGGACACTGTACTGTAAACAGGCGCCGTCCTTCGGATGAGACGTAAAACCGAGGTCCTGACTCTGTGGTCATTAAAAATCCCAGGGTGTTTCTCGAAAAGAGTAGGGGTGTAACCCCGGCATCCTGGCCAAATTTCCCATTGGCCCTTACCAATCATGGCTTCCTAATAATCCCCATCTATGAATGGCTTCATTACTCTGCTCTCCTCCCCACTGATAGCTGATGTGTGGTGAGCGTTCTGGTGCACTATGGCTGCCGTCGCATCATCCAAGCGGATGCTGCATATGGGTGGTGGTGGAGGGGAGTCCCTGTCATTACCTGGAAAGCGCTTTGAGTGGAGTGTCCAGAAAAGCGCTATATAAGTGTAAGCAATTATTATTATTATTATTATTATTATTATTATTATTACCTGATCACGTTCTCATGGCACCGAGAGGTGTTTGAGTCTGCGTGCGAATGCGGCCATTTGCTGCGGAGACCAGGGACTGTGAGCTTGGCTCAGCCAGGTGTGACAACTTTAAAAAAAGAGACTCTCACCTTATTGCCTCTGAAGATCTTTCCGTATCTTGCAATAACAATTTTCTCAGAACAATTAATCCCCATTTCGCGTTCCAATTTAAAAAAGTCCTCCGTCCGGCCATAGTTCACATAAACTAGTTCTCCCTGTTGACAAAAGAAGACATACAACAGGACTCTGGCAAATTAGACAAATACAATCTATTTATCTAATGTTAATCTATATAATAAGAAAAATATATTATTTAATGCATCAAGTACAAGTTATGCACAATTAAAAAGCTGACTGATTAAATCTGTATGCTCAGAATACAGGTGATAAGAAAACAATTACCTCAGGTTGACCTTGTGCAGAGTATGCACTGTAGGGGGGCACAATATTGGAAATATTTTCATACCCTTCAGGAACAGGCTCTGATAGAGAGGTATTGAAAACCTGAAAGATAACTTAGTAAATTTATACTGGGCTCCACTCAGTTTCAGATAAACGTCAGGAAACATTTGACTTAACTTTAGGAAACTTAATTGTACTTCCATGCACATGAAAAATAATTCATGTCTACAGTTTCAGATATTTAGAAATCAATGCTATTACAAAAAATACCATTTTCTTTCACCTTAAGCTTTCAAACAATATTATTATAAATAAAGCCACTTAAAACACAATAATTATTCTTTAGAAAAATATTTTCTATATTAAATTATGGACACCCTTGTTGAGTCACAATAAAAGTTATAGTAATACAAGTATTAATTAAACATTATTAACATTATTATTATTACATTATAAACCTCTGATTCTTCTTAATATTATTCTCTACAAAATGTTAACATATACAGTCCAAGTCAATTTTTGAGATGTATTTGCAACTCAATTACATAATGTCCAATAATGTGCAGTTTGCAAATCTCAGAATAAAATGCAGAAATTGACTTAAAGGTTACTACTAATCACTGAAATCTAGGAACGTATGAATAAAATGACTGAAGCAACTCAAGGCTATTTCTGTCCCTAATAAAATATTGATGAATAAACTTATGATCCTTTTACTTTTTCTATGCACCCAGATGTTTCATTTCATGGAGAAGTTCTTGCAGTTTGTTATAGTATCCAATTCTGAACAACATATTGCTAACATTTGTTGATGTTTGACTTTCCCCTTACACTTTAACCTATACTGATCATTACCTGTAATTCAGTTGAACCACACACAAAGACATGAGCAAGCACACACAAAAATAATACTTAAAGGAACCATAAACCTACAGTACAAAGGTAATGGCTTTAATAGAATATGATGTTTCAAAAATGCATTCTGTATATTATGTAACAGCTGATCCATCCATCAATTAATTAATTTTCTAAGCACTTAATCCAATGCAGGATCGGGGAGGAGCCAGATCCTATCCCAGCAGGCAACAGGTACAAGGCGGGATATAATCCCTGGACAGGACACCTGTCCATACCAAGGCAGACACACTCTCACACCAGGGGAGAGTGTGTTTCCAGAGGCCAATTAACCTGCCAGTATGTCTTTGAACTATGGGAGGAAACTGGAGCACCTGGTGGAAATTCATGTGAACACAGGGAGAACACCACACAGATAGCACCAAAATTGCACCCAGAGCCACAGTACTGTGAGGCAGCAATGGTAACCACTGGGCCACTGGGCCAACCACCCTGCAACATGGCACCTCTATTAGAGATAACATTATTGTCTTTCTTGAACTCCCAGATTATGAGTATGTTTTTCCATTTCATAAGCAAATATATTTATTATGTGTGACTGCAGTCATAAATTAGTGTCATGGAGCAAATTCCAATGTCGTGTTCAATTTAAACAGTTGTGTTATTAAGTGTTGATAATTCGTAAAGGTTAATTTTATTTTTAAGTGACAGTTATTCATGTTAATGAAAGATGTTTCTACAGTGCATAGCGACTGTCATCTGACTAAGATTATGGTCAACAATCTTGATTTGACTGGCTAATCTTTACAGGCAAACTTCAGTCTTACACAGTTTAATGGTTTGTTGAAGGCTTAGGTTCTGCTGTATCAACATTTAAAACTGTAATGACTAATGTGTTTAAACTGGCCTCTACATTAGCTTTAACACACAGTAAGCAGAGGTAATAAGGATGGTGCTTAACAGTAATGGAAGTCATCTGTGATAATCCCAGTCTCACAAGTGATTTGGCATATACATTTTAGTTTCTTCCTGCTGTGCCTAACAACATCACAAATGACATTTACAGGCATGGAGTAATGGTTAGCATTCTGGGATAACCAGAGGTTATCAGAGGGTCATGGCACCAACCCCTTAATGCAGCCCTTGTTGTTGTATCCTTCTGCAAGCTGCTTAAGATGATTCATCCAGTACACTGAGGAGTTACTGAGTACTAACATTACTATGGGTTAATGCATGGACTTTACACCTTTGAACTCCAATACTGCTTATGCAACAACTCTAGATGGCAAGTAATACAGCCTGGGTTCAGACAAGTTATCTTTGAGATTATTTACCCTAAACTTCACATCTTTTAATGAATAAGATATTAGATATGTCCGTTTCCTAAATAAGCCTCACATAATATAGTGCTACAAAGCAAAAAAAATCAAGAGAAATAAAACGCACACACATCACCTATTACGTAAATTAAAAAATATATTTTCTTTACTTCAAATTAAGTTACAGTTCTAAGAAGGGGTCTATCTACTAAAAGTTTTGATTTGTAGATGTAACTATACAAAGCATTTAGACTGCAGGTGAGTCTTTATCCTTGCTGACTGTATTGCCAATATCCGTTGACAGCCAAAATCAGTTTTCTGAGAACTATGGCAAGTGACCCAAGATGTGCTTTTACATAACAATTTGCAGTTACAAGTTGGGGATCTGTAAAGGAAGACATGATTACTATTACATTTATGTAAAGTACCTCGTTTCCTAGGTTGTCAATGATTGCAATGTAGTTTGGACGGGTTTCATTGGGATAGGACAGGAGGACATCAAAGGGGACAATCTCCACTGAATCCAGGCCAAACTGCAGCCAATCATCCCGAATCTCTTCTGCCAGGCGAAGGTTTTGAACTGTACCTGCCAGGTGAGGAAGCTGTGTGAATTTCCTGAGAGACAGCAAAACAAACATAAATAAGTCATACACACAAGTGGAATGAAATGCTTCTTTGCATGTATGCTCCAATACAAAGACATTAAAGGGAATCACCAAAAACATAAACAGAACCACAGCAGTCACAACAAGTTAAATAACATACGACTTAAAAAAAAAAGTCAGACAAGCAGTGCGAGAAAAAAACATCAGTGTGAGGCAATGGTAGTTCAGTAATCTGACAGCTGTGGGAAGAAACTGTCTCTAATTCTGGACGTTCATGCCTTTCTGCTCCTATATAGCTTACCACAGGGAAGGGGGGGGAAAAGTGAGAAACCAGGATGACGGTATCCTTAGTGATACTTCCAGCCTTCCTGATGAAGTTGGCTGACCTAATCACCCCCTATAGCTCCTTCCGGTCAGACAACGAACTGCTGCCAAACCACACTGTAATACCACACGTGAGCACACTCTCAATAGCACACCTGCGCAACACAGTAATGATAGTTTAAGATGGACCAATTTTTTTAAACTGTCTGAGGAAGTAAAGGCCCTGTTGTGCATTTTTTGTAGCTCCTTATACTCCTTCTTTGTAGCCCAATTTATATGCTGGGACCATGTTAAATCATTGGTAATGAAGGTATCCAGGAACTTGAAGCTGCTAACCATCTCTACAGCCACCCCACTGAAGTGAATAAGGACGTGGTCCCCACCCTACTCTCTAAAATCAATGAACAACTATTTGGTTTTGCTGACGTTGAGGGAAAGATTAGTGTCGGGGCAACACTACACCACCTTTCTGACCTCCTCCCTGTAGGCTGTCTCATCACTACCTGGAGATTTGACCAATGATGGTAGTGTCATCAGCATATTTGTAGATGACGTTGGAGCTGTGTCTGGCCACACAATCGTAGGTAAACGTGGAAAATAGCGGTGGGCTAAGCACACGGTCCTGAGGGGCACCTATATTGATGGACAGTATGGAAGAAACCTTTCCATTGACCCTCACAGTCACACTGACACACTCACATTGACACAGTCTGTAATCTGCCAGTCAGGAAATCCATAATCCAACTGCAGAGAGAGGTGCTGATGCCCGGGTCATTAAGTGTCATGACTAGTCTTGATGGGACTATAGTGTAAAATGCAGAGCTGTAATCAATTAATAGAATTCTGAAGTATATGGTCTTTATCATCCAAATGAACCAGGGCAGTGTGAAGAGCCAGGAAATAGCATCACTAGTGGACCTTTTACGCCGGTATGCAAACTGCAGTGGATCTGAGCACTCAGGTACCACTGTGTTAATACAGTATGCCTCATTACCAGCCTTTCAAAGCATTTCATTACAGAAGATTCGAGTGCTACTGATCTGTAATCATTAAAACAACTCGCAGTACTTTTCTTCACTGCTGATAAAATGGTAGTTTACTTAAAACACAGGGGAACAGAAGATTGTAAAAGTGAAAGATTACAAATATCCCCAAAACTGGCTTATTGGTCTGCACAGGACTTAAAGACCCATCCAGGAATGCCATCCAGGCTAGATGCCTTCCGTATGTTCTCCCGTCTGAAAGTTGCCCTCCGTGACAGACATTGCGTTATCATCAGCAGCTGGGAACATTAGTGCCAGCAGTTCCGTGATTCCCTTCTCAAATCGAGCGTAATAGGCATTAAACTCATCCGGCAGAAAGAAATCCATATCAGTGGATGTAACACTGCTTATTATAGCTTTATGGTTTGTTTGTCTGAATACCCCACCAAATTTGGCGCACATTGGAAGACGCAGCTTCTATCTCTGGTTTGAAGCTCCAAGAGAAAGTTACAATCATGTTCTACATTAATATACATGTTTTAGATAAAGTTACTACATTTAAAATCTTAGCCTTTCCTAACCCTCAAGGTACTAAGTGTTCTGGGTTTTTTTTGGCTATAGGGTATCAACATTTTTTGCCCCATAAAACACTATATTTAGTCTAAAAAGGAAATGAAAATTGATGGTACCTGAGGAACTGCTTGATGTTTTCAGCTTTCATTTCACTGAGAAACTCCTTCAGGAATCTCTGAGAAGGTCCTTCATAATTGGATGCCTTGGGCCTTGCAAACCATCCTTTATATAAAAAAGTAACAAAAAAAAACAATTTACACAATTAGACCCATAATTCAAGAATGGACACGTCTCACCAGAGCTTGTTTTATTGGGAATTTCACATGCATTAACAGTAGTACTTGAAAGCTGTCTTTCAATTAGAGATTACGAATTACAATTCTCATTTTGTATCTTCTTCTATAAATATTTCAATTATATTTCATTCATCCATCTATTTTCTAACTGCTTCTTCGAATTCAGGCTCAGAGGGCAGCCGGAGCATCGGGCGCAAGGCAGGGTATACCCTGGACGTGACGCCAGTCCATTAGAGGGCAGACAGGCACAAACACAGATACACTAACACTCTTACCAGGGAAAGTAGTCAATTAACCTACCATTACGTACTGTATTTGGACTGTAGGGATAAACTGGAGCACTTGGGAGAAATCCTACTATAGACGCCATGCATATAGCACCCCAAGTACACACTAGAACTCGAGGCACCGAGGCAGTAGTATTAACCACACCCCACCATGCTGCCCCTATTCAGTTTCATAATTATTTCGTTGATGTTGAACAAGCAATCTGTTTTAGATTTATATTTCTAGCGGAACTATTAAACACTTAAATTTTTTGCTTCTTAATTGTTATGTTTACAAAACGTTGTTTACTTTTTATGGTATATAAATATTTCGACATACTTTAAATACTTTTAAGTATTAAGTATAAATACCTGTCAATCCAAAATATCAATAAATCCTTGCCTTCAAAGTTTCAGCAAAGAAAGAAAAATAACAGGAGTAATGCATATATTATAATGGAAGGTCGCAGCTCCTGTGATCTTCTAACGATTTAAACAAATTATTTTAAAGAAGTTCTTCAGTTATTTTTATTACTATGATTTACAAACAGTTAGATGCAAGTCCAAACTTTCTAATGATCACCAGTTACTAAATACATTTACTGACATACGCTATCCCCCAAACTTCTGCGAAGTTGCATTTTTAGTTTCATCATAAAAAAAAACACCGTTGCTTGGTATGAATAGTAAATGTATTCCAAGGTAAATCGGCACGAAATATTTTAAAAGTTACTGCGAGATATAAAATCACATTACTTCACAATAATAAGAAAATAATATCTTACCTATTAAAAATCCAATTAGGAAAAAAACAGTAATAATTACTAGTAAACCAAACCATTTTAAACGCTTCTCCTTCTGGATCCCCATTAGCTTCGTCTCCAGCTATCCCAGCTTCTGCCACTGATGATTGCTGTTATTACGCGAGAGATAAGGGGGGAGGGCGGTCCCATAAGAAACAATTGCCACAAAGTTTGGAACCGTTTTGTTTTACTGTTGGTGTGACTTAAGTTATTCGCAAAACTGAAACACTTAAAGAATAAAGGATGTTAAATTAATTAAATTACCCACACACAGTAGGTCACTGTCTTGAAACAAACAGGAATGGCGACATACCGAACAGGCACCGACATTTACAAATTGTGTGTTCTGCACCCATTCCTACACTCGGCGGTAACCTAATGGATGATTAAATAGCATAGAATAAAATTAACGATGTGAGGAAGAAACAAAAAGGAACATTGTTGAAATGTACAGTTGCAATTTGTAGCGTTTTAATATAATAACCCTTGTGTGAAAATCATAGTATGACTGAATTTACAGTAGTGGTTACAAAGAGAGATTGCTACTGTGGAATCTAGAGAAGGTGGCAATACCCTCGCTGTTTTCTTTTTCATATAATCGTCTCTAAAGTAGAATTTTGAGAGGGTATTTTCCAGTTTCTCATGTATTTTTCAGACAACTTAATTTGCTTGCCGGAAATCTGCTTTATCGTTAGCAGCCACATCACCCTACAACGAACTGCCAGCCCATTGAAACTAAGCGGGTATGAGCTTGGCCAGTACCTAAGGTTACTATTGGAAGGGGTATTAGAGGGGACAGTAGGTGGCGCTCACCCTGCGGTCTGTTCGGGCTCTAATGCCCCAGTATAGTGACGGAAACACTATAGTGTCAAAAGGCCCCGCCGTTTGGCTGAGACATAAAACCGAGGCCCTGACTCTGTCCTCATTTAAAATCCCAGGGTATGTCTCGAAAATTTGGGCGTCCTGCCCAAATTTCCATCGGCCTTTGCCAATCATGTCATCCTAATAATCCCCATCTATGAGTCGGTTTCATCACCCTGTTTTTCTCCCCACTGAAACCATCATTATTATATAACATCTGTCAGTGATAGCTGGTGTGTGGTAAGCGTAATTGCGCACTGTGGCGCTCATCCAGGTGAGTGCTGCACATTGGTGGTGGTGGAGGGGAGTCCCCATTTCCTCTAAAGTGCTTCATAAATCATAAGGAATTACTATTATCGCACTTGTGATTAAGGGCAAAGAATACCATCCTTCGCTTTCTTAAAACAGCGATTTCACTATAGGCCTGAACTATGGCACCAACTCTCCTTCCTTTCCTTAAATACATACCTATATTAAAGTGTATTACTGATTCTAGTGAATTATTTTTTTAAAACGGGAAATGGAAAATAATAGCTTTCGAGTTATTTTTTTCCAGGTTTCACGGGACTTCACGGCAAATCCACTAGAGGACAGTGTTTACATACACATTGGCTGGTTTTTCAATTACGTGCAAATCAGAAAAGCAGATTATAAAAGTGTAACTTTATGGATTTTAAACGACTGTTTTTACAAATTAAAAATGGTGCAATCAATTATATTCTGAAGCATAAATTTCTAACAGCTGTTAGATGGTAGCTGATATTTAAAAAGCTATGGTGTATCATTTTTTTTTGTTCAGAAATTTCCCTCTCAGTACAGTTCTGCATTTCAATCTAAACACTAAAAGATTTCCTATTATTGCCCAATAGAAAAAAGAAAGTCAAAACATGGGTTATCAGTTGTTTAAAAAATGTGCAGATTCCAACATCCCATTTCATACACAATTTTATGTAAGACAGATGACTATTCTACGTTTGAGACAGGGGTACAGCATTCATGTTTTATAATTACTGTTGGCAGAAAGAGCAAATTGGTTTGCGAATGCTGATTGACAGGACGTATTTACTTCTTGATATCATAAATGATCATTTTTTCCTGAATATTTACATGACCGGTTCCTTTACCTTTACTTATTATCCAGAAGATTAATTGTAATTTCACATATGATTTAATGTAGTTTATCCTCATTAGTTTGATAAGAACTACAGTTTTAAAGAATGGGCTTTCTCGCATCATATTGAATAATCATGTTTTGCATTAAGCTTAAAGCAATTTAAACTGTAGTTGTTCAGTTGGCGAATGCTATCTATAGTGTACAAAGAAAAGGTTTCCTCGTTCTTAAAGGTGACTTGGTGGGGCTGGTGGCTTCACTGGCAGACTTTTAGGTATTTCTGTAGTAAAAATACTTAAAAGACAGAAGCCTTACTATCTCCTACCCTGATCTGAGAAGATAAGCAAGGATTAGCCTAGTCATAACGAGGTGGGGAGACCTCCAACGACAAGGAAAGCCAGGCCGCTGCTATAAGTAGTGTTTGTGGAACAATAGATGGTATGCTTTCCTCTAGAACAAAACTTCCAGACCAGTGTGCTGCGGTCTGGAAGGCCCCGTCCTGTAGGAGACGTCATTACTGAGGTGATGAATTGAGTTCCTGACTGCTTGGTTGTTAAAATTGCAAACATTCTATGGCACAGTTAGGGGCTTAAGACCAGATACAAGTGTTCAATGTTATTCTTGGCTCCTGCCGGCCTAGTTCTCCACTTTAATTCACTTGGAGAATCAATTTCTCACTTCTCTAACTGATCTGGTACATTATTGGGCAACAATGGCTGCCGTGTATCACCCAGTTGTGAACTGAATGACAGGGATGGATGAAGTGAGCCCTCTTCTATATACAGTACAGTATATATTTAAATATGCCCCCCTACTCTTTAAACATTACCAGTTGCTTGATTGACAGAAATGCAAAATCTGTGCCAAGAGATGTTTTTTGTATGGCAGTTACATGTTATATGTTATATGGCCATTTCTCTCTTACATGTTTATAAAACAAAATGGTACAAATTTTATCCTCAGTATCCATTGGGGTTCTTGTATTACTGATAAGTTTGCAATGCAATCTTTCTTGTTTATTTTGTTCTTATCTGACTGTTTGGTAGAACACCATGATATAACAAGCTGCATCTGCTTACTCTAAACTTATTGGGACCATCAACAAAGACGAGACCTGTCTATTTTAAATAGCACACAATGAATGAATTGGTGGCTGAATGTATTTCTTTGACAAGAAATTCGTTTTTTCCATAAAATAATCAAATAATCTATTTAGTCTCTTTAAAAGCTTATTAATCTAGAAGCAGTATCATCACAACATTTAAATGAATAGACCCAAATGTCTGTTCATTTATCTTCCTGGGAAATGAAATATTTTTTCATGATTTTGCTATGTTTGAGATTTGTACTTGGTAGCAAACAATTCTTTTTAGTTCTTTGCAGTTTTGAGTTACAGTTTAAAAAATAAATGTATCCTCAGAATAGAAGGGGATGGTGTTAAATGTTATAACAATCAACATATTTTAATAACATTGTTAATGTCACGGTAACTTTATTGTTAAATATAAAAAGCAGAAGTCTACGAGGACATGATCCACTGTTTATGCGTAAGCACAAATGCTTTTCATTGGAAATAAATGATTTGAAACTTAACAGACATTCTTTGCATTTTGCCCTAAATTTAAAACACAATCCTGCCTCTACAAACGAAGTAACTTAAGTTATTCCCTTAACTTCTGCAGTCTTCAAATAAATGTTTGAAAAGGCAGAAGTGCAAGTTCCCATTGTCTGGAGGATGACTAATTTGTTTTTACTTCAGCAGCCAGGGGGACACTAATTTCCGGGTGCAGAGCTACATCTTTCGGCTTACATCTATTCGGACCACACTAAACCGAGGTTGTGGGAAAGTACTTCTCTTCCGAGGTTTGTGGTCTGGCGAGAATTCACGGCGAAATCGAATAAAGAAGGAATGACCAGTTCGGACAAATAACAGAAAGCATGTATGTCTGTATTAATCGAGCAAAATTCCAGAGAATAATAATGAAGATTAAAGGGAAGCTAACAAACCTTGTATAGCGCTTTTGGCGTACACACTGTAGCAAAGTATTTTTAAGTTAGGGGGTGAAGGAAAGGGGATCTCTGCAAATTCCCGAACTGAAATTTTTTTTGGCAAAAAAGTGTTAAGAAGATGGCTTTGTCCTGCAAAAGCTGGCTTGCAAACGAATGTGGAAAACATCTCCTTCTGGTAAGGCATTACTTTATATTGAGACTTGTGAACTTACTATTGAACACTTGGTGAAATTACCCCTGGATAATGTACCAGACCTATAACCATTTATTGAGCTTGTAAACTTGTTTTGTTTGTCGATAACATAGTCCATACACATTTACTTGTATTGTTTAGTTGGCCCTTCTAATGTGTTGCCAATATATTATATACAAGAGCGATATGTTCTTTGTAAATGATGCTAAACATTGGACTGCTTGCTTGATAGAAAAACGTTCACTGGCATTCATTCCTCTGTGGTTGATTGTTTTCTTTTTCAGCTCGTCTGGTTGGCAACAAATGTATGGCTATTTTGGAAAACATTTGTGTTATACTACAGTGGTCCGCAATATTTTTACCTTCATAAGATGCTTGGGGTAAGTTTAGATTAACAGTTCGTAGTGTACTGTTTCTAGTGATAGTCTTGTAGAAGGTGGTGAAGAATGGAATGAGCATTTGTATGTAGGCAAATGAGAAAAGGCTGTTCATTAAGAGTACAGTACGATATTACTTAAACTATCAGCCATTTGTGGAATGCTACATTCACAAAGTAATCTTTGTGACTAGCATCTGTTTTATTTTTACCTACTGTAGATCCGGTGTTGGGGTCTCTGACCCCCACAGCTCATGATACAGTTGCGTTTTTATTAATTTAATTTCACGTGTGTTTTTTTCTACTTCTCCTTGAGCAATGTTAACGCGACAAGTCTGCAATAAGACAGGTATCATATTTATCATATTTTAATGTGTGTAAATTCCAGACGATTCTGTAGAAAAAAAAATAATAACGCTTTGATTAAAGCTCTATAAACAAGTTTGCTTAATTCAGATAACTTTTTAGTGGCTGCCCAGGATTATAGGAACGTATTGCTTTCGTCTTTGAAGTTCCGACCACAGAAAGAGCATTATCAAGCAAATCCTAATGTATAGTACAATGAATTGTATTTGATTTTAGCTGATTTGGAAAACGTTTTCAAAAAGAGATAAAAGACATGTCTTTTCCGCCAAGTACCTTAAAGAAAGTTACTTATGATATGTAGGTCTTAAACTTAATTGCTGGATCTTTATTTAAAAGGAAACAATTCATTCGAATACGACTTTATAGATATAATCTATGCGGAACCTTTCCACTAATTATTCCTCGTTGGGTCAAAAATATTAGAGGTATGTAATAATACTCGAATTATATAATCGTTTGTAGAATATAATAGATTGTGGTATGTGCAGGTGTTACTGGTGTTTGACTAAAAGGAATATCCAAATCCTTAGAGGGCCGTGAGAAAGTCATTTACTTAGTTATTTCGATAAACTGTTCTCTGAATTAGAGTAGTTAGGGCTCCTTGAAGGCAATAGACTGGAATGTCTGCCTTTTTGGAAAAACCCTTGCCTTAGGCACAGAAAACTAAAGAGTGCCATTTTTCAGGAGTAAGTACACACCAGAAATGTGACACCCAAGGGTGGACAGGGTACCATGAACTTTGTGGTTTGATTTCTGACCCTTGTTGTGTTTGTTCAGCTAGGATTGTGTGTTAGCAGGGCCTCTGCATCAGTCCTCAATCTTAACTGCAGCCTCGTGCTCCTTCCCATGTGTCGCTGTCTTCTGGCCTTAATACGAGGATCCCAAAAGGTAAAAAACGAGATCCTATTGACCTGTGTGTGCTTTTTGAGCTTCCTTATATAACCTGTATAGAGACTATTGGGTTACAGTTGTGTGCAAACATTTAAGCACACCTGTCCAAATTGTAAATTTCAGTGATCTGTAAGTGAAAACTGCTTGACGCAACCTTTGGATGGTACAAACTTAAATATGAAATGTTTCTGCAAAATGCAATGCACAATTAGTATTTATGTACGTTTTTGTAGATATTCAGAATTACTGTATAATACAGAGAATATGGCATGTGCAAAGTTTGGGCCCCCTGTCAGTCAGTACTTAGTAACACCACTATTGGCAGAAATCACAGCCTCCAAACATTTCCTGTAGCTAACTGATAGTCTTTGCATTCTTGCTTTTGGATTCTCGCCCAACACACTCTTCCTTGCAGAACTCTTCTAGCTTAATAATATTTTAGGTCTTCTTGCATGCACTGTATGTTTGAGATCTCCCCACAGATTTTCCATAATGTTCAAGTCTGGGGAGTGTAAAGGCCATTTCAAAACCTTAATCTTTCATTCCTGTAATTAATGCATGGTTGATTTTGAGGTATGTTTTGGATCATTGTCATGCTGAATTATCCAGCCTCTTTTAAGCTTCAGTTTCTTAATTGATTCTGGCACATTAGTTTATAGGATCTGTTGATATTTAGTTGAATCCATTCTTCCTTCCACCTGTACAATACTTCCTATGTCGCTGTCTGCCACACAACCCCAAAGTATAATACTATAGATCCATCCAATACCTTGTGGCTGGTAAGGTATTCTTTACTTCAAATGCTTCACCCACTTTTCTCCAAATTTATTGTCTACAGTTATGACTTTGTTCCAGAAAGTTTACAGCATTAAAACAGTCAACTGAAAGGGTGCCCAAAATGTTTACAAATGCCACATTCACTTTTTTATTTTAGTCAATCTGTTAAATTCAGCCATGTTTAAGTTTGTACCACACAGAGGTTGTGTCAACTTCTTTTTACGTAAGGGATTCACTAAAACATACAATTGACATGAGGGGTGCCTAAAAGCTCGCACATGACAGTAGGAGTGAGTACATACCAATTTCTGTTTGGCTTGTCCTCAGTCAAATCTATCCAGTCTCCATGAGACAGAAGCAAATAAGGTATCAGCTGTAGTTTATAAATGACATGTTTTGACATTTATGTAAAGCTTTCAGGTCTGTATCACAGAGTTCTTCCTCTTGTGTAAAATTACACTATTAAAAAATAGTGACTGGAAAAACCTACACTATTCTATAATAGCTTTTAATAAATTATGTTGCTGTTCGCTACAGAAGTACATTATATTTAGTACATTAGAGCTAGTAAGAAATGTGACCATGTTTGTGAACTGCTAAGCTTTCCTAACACATTAATGAATCTTCTGTGTTCTTACAACATTCCATACCACCTTTACAGGTAACTGGTAGGAAAGTCAGACGACTGATGGATAAGAGTAAGACATTCCATGTGGCATGTGGTTTTGTCATATGTATTTTCTCAGGTAAGAGAACCTAAGTTACTGTACATCCAGTGCTGTTTAGATAAACATGTTTGGGGAAAAAATTACTTTGACAATTCTGGTTTAGAGGGAAGGGGGAGAAAGTATTGGAGAAAAGTTATTATCTCATGGACAAGGAACAAATCTAAAGAAAAAGCAGAAAGTTCAGAGGGCAGAAGGGTGAAAGCAGTGGTCTGACACTGAGTAATCCTGTGCACTGCTGGGAAGCATCTGGTTTGTAGTCTGTTTGGATTGTGGCTTAAAATGAGAAAATAGAGGTATGAGGGAATGCTAAATTTGTGTTTAGTTTCATTTCTCTTATCATATTTACGTGTATGTAAAGCGTAAAGTACCATTTTAAACCAAGATATGAGGTTGCTGCCAGTATAACGTGGTGCCAGAAAGCATGTTTTTACCACAATATCAGCTACACTAGTTTAGAGAAGATAGTAATGTATGTTTCAGTTTGTGCCAATGATACATATTTTGTTTACATTGTTTCTTAATCAGATGTGATAATTTCAAGGCAGAGAAAATGCTTTTAGACTGAAGGGTTCAGTGTTTTCTCTGCGGAAAGGGGTAATGTAATACGCACAGCTGTTTTTACTGACATCACACACTGAGATCATGGGAGCAACTAGTTTCACACAAGCACCAAGTAACCCCAATCAGAGGCCAATGGAAGTGATCCATTTCCTGCCTGTGAGAACTGTACGAATGTTCTAATTGCACAGTTTGAAAACACTGAGTCATTTAGTTAAATTAAACAAGGTTCAAACAAAAAAACATTTGTGGAACGTTTCATAGAAATATCTGCCCTTTTGGCAAATAACATTTTTACCTTGAATGAGCTGGCAAAAAGTAGCACAATGGGGAATAACAGTGACAATTTACAAAGAGTGTTTCAGTATGTTTAGTTTTCTGTATTGTACAACACAAAGAACAAATGCTGTAAGTTTAAAATGACACCTTAGTAGATGTAACTGAACTGGAAAATGATTAGAAATAATTCGGAATCAAACAAGTAGACTAACATTTATTCATCGAGTTATTTCTCATTAATGCTTGTCTTTTGTCTTTGAATTTCTTAGTGGTACATGTAGTTGCTCATGTGGGTAACACACTCAGTTTCTCTGTGCGCTACAGTGAGGAATTGCCTGCTCTGAACATGGCACGCTACAGAGGGGAAGTAAGAATTTAAACTTGACTTATTTCTCCTATTTTTACTGTAATGCAGGACTCCTGTTTACTATATTAAAATATTAAAAGTTAACAAACATTTACTAAAATTATTCATCTACACTCTTTTCCCAGGATCCTCGAGTTATTATATTTACGACTGGTGAGTGTTTTCATTAAGATTACTTTTTCCAGGTTACTTATAGTTCACCAAGGGCAGACAGGATATAAAATAATACAAATCCTGGAATGTTTAGGAGGATAAAGAAGACAGCGTCCTGAGATTAGATATACTAAACTAGGAATAAAATAGGGATGAATACTGGTTATCTACTTAATCCCATTATAATATAATAACAATCTTTATTTTATACAGTGCCCTATAAACTGAAGTTTTACAAAAAAACAGGTATCAGGCTTTTAATACTAATGGAAGAATACAAAACAACGTCTAGGGTAGCTTAGTTAATTGGAAATAAATAAATGTCTGCTCACATTATGTTCCAATTCCACTACAGTCCACTGAATTTCAACTCGTTTAATTTGAATTTGAAAATGACATCTGTAATCAACTTACTCCTTTCCTTAATTGTACTCTAAAGTATGTTTAAATCTTGTGGGGATGTTTTTGACAAAATAGAAAAAATCTAGATGGCTAAATGTGTTACTGAAATTCATCAAATGCACTATAGTTTACACACCAGCACTTATTTATATCCTCAATTAATAAATGTTTGAATATAACTAGGGATAAAGGTGATTCATTATTTGTAACCAGGGAGTTGATAGCTGTCCATAGAATTACATTATTTCTCCTAAAAAATACTAAATTTATCTTATTTCACCTCATTGTAATTTTCACTTCAGAGTAAGCCAGTATTTAAATCTCTTCTATATGCTAACTATATTTGTTCTGTAGTTCCAGGAATAACTGGTGTCCTTTTGGTAGTGATCCTTTTTTTGATGTTTACTGCCTCCTCATACTGTATAAGGTAATATTAAACCTGATTTAATTTTGAATTCTTAAACTTTCAAACGTATCCTCGAAAAATGAGATTAGTGTTATTTTCAGTCACTGAGATGCTCTCTTCAGCATTGATGTCCTATGTAATGACATTTCATAAAAAAGGATGTAAAGATCTTAGCTTTTGTGGTTTGAAGTGTTCAGAAAAAATAGCCATGTCTAAATTCACAGTGGCTATACACAAAAATCAGTAGAAAAAGACTTACCCTTGTGATGATAGTGTCATTTGTCTCTCATCCTACTACTTAGCTATTTTGCCTGAAGCTCATTTACATCATATCTGACAAACACAGGCCAGGTGCAGGAGGGTTTTGAATATTATTTCCTGGCATTTCATTTAAAGACACTAAACTCAAAACCAAAGCAGGGCACCTGAAAGGGCACAATTGTTACATTTTCAACAACAGAACACCTGAGTGAATGTTTTTTGGAATTCCATGTTTCTTTTTTTAAAATTTTGGAGTAAACATGAATAGAATGCTTTAAACAACAAAATATGTCATTTGAAAATCAGATTTTTTGTTTTGTTTACATGAAGTAGTTTCTTTGAACATTTTGTCTTATTTTGTGATGATATTTGTGATGCATTTATCAGAAGTGTAATGCAGTGTCTTCCAACCTTTGACAGTAACACACCAGGCTGAATAATTGTGATGTGATATAAGTTGCTTCCTCTATGATTATTATATGAATTGTAGTTACACCAGAATAAGTTTAAGGAAAACCAATATTTAGAAGGCCTGATTTTGAAAGTGAGATCAATACATAAATTCCATATATAGACTGATGCATATATACATATAATTTTGTTTGTTACATAATACAGATCTGTTGTCTTTTCAGGGTTTCCAGCTATGAAATATTCTGGTACACCCACAACCTTTTCATTGTCTTCTACATTCTGCTACTTGTGCATGTGGCTGGGTACGATTCATTATTATCTTTATTATTGTTACTACTGCCTCCCTGTTTCTCTCTTGATACAATCTTTGTTGCAGAACCTTGAGGGTAATGAAAATTGGTGTCACAGTTACATTAGGGTTTCTTAGCTTTGCAGATATACTATGTTATCTACAACTCAACTAAACCTTCAAAACAGAACTGTGCTGCAAAAGGAGTATTTAGTGTGTGAAATATAACATGAAAACAACAAAAAGCTTTAAAGCCACATTATCTACTGTATCTTAGAAAAAATATGAAACCTAGTTTAACTGAGTTATCATTTAGGTTTAAAAAACGTGCATTAGCCAGTTGTTTGTGACACTTTCCATTTTTTTGTAGCTTCCTACACTATAAAATGTCATGTATTGCTTGGATTGTTAAAATGTATTTGAATTTCATACTCTTGTTTTTGCAAACGATTTTTGTGATGGTTTTTTTTGTTATCCAATTAAGTCATATTGGGTAGAAATATCACTAATTAATAAAAACAAACATTACTTTCTGAAGCACTCTGCATGGGAGCTACTGTACTTACTGATTGTGCAAGAGGAAGTTGCGAATTTGACTCTGGTGGTATAGCACATTTTCCATAGACATGACACTTGTCAGAAGTATTTTAGTTCCTGCAGTGATAGCTTTTGGAAAGACCAGCTGTCAGAGGCACTGTGTTAAAACCTGCCCTTTGATGAGAGTGCTTGCAGTCGGTCATGGACTGGAGGGGCTGTGGCACTGGAAAGCAGCTGTGAACAGCAGTGTAAATCATTAAATCCCTTCCAGCAACATCTAAGAATGCTGGTGCTTTCTCACATCAATTGCAGCAGATATTTCATTTGCGTTACTCCTCACACAGAACAAACAAAAAGTTAAACAGCACAAAAATAGAGTAGCTTATTTTAACAGACAATATTTTCTTGCAACTCTTTGTTTTCAGGGGTGTACTGAAATATCAGACCAATGTTGATGCTCATCCTCCTGGTTGCTTCAGGCCTAACAAAACCATCCAGAACCCAAGATCCAAGATGAAACCTGCTCCCGACCCCTTTTTTGATGACTTGCCAGCATCTTCCATCACGGATAACTTTAACAGAATCTGTAAAGAAGAACCCCATTTCCAACATCACTTCCCTGAGGTGTGTCAACACTAAGCTTCTCACAAAGAAAGAAAATTGACTGGCAGTGCCTGTGCTGATGAGACTGAACTTTGTGAAGGACATGAATGATATTCATAGTTGTTTTGGGGCTAGTTGATATTTATTTCACATAAAATATGTGATTTAAAGTGCTCTTTACAATTTTTAATTATAATTATAAACTTTATTTAATACAGCACCTATAAAGGTGGCTTCTCAAACTGCTTCACAGAATGAGAACAATAATATACACAAAAAGTAATTTGTAAAATGTGTATTATGTACCTAATGTTAAACATGTTTTTGTGTCCCAGCCTCAGTCTAGGGACGTTGGTGTTGCTCAAATTCTTAGCTACACTGTGAAACATTTATATTGTGGCTGCTGAAATTACTTCTTTCTATAAGGGGACTAAATATTATCGAAGTTTTTAAAAAGCTTAATTAAAGGCTGTGACTACTGATCTGTTTAACCAGAAGAATGCACTTTTTATTTGACATTTTCCATGTGGTTTCAGACATGGCTGTGGGTGTCAGGCCCATTGTGCTTGTACTGTGCCGAAAGACTATATCGGTACATACGAAGCAGTGCACCTGTTACCATAGTCTCTGTTGTAAGTCACCCCTGTGACGTAATCGAGGTGCGAATGGTGAAGAACAATTTCAGAGCCAGACCTGGACAGGTAAGTGAAAAAATGTCAATTACATCAAAGGAATTATAAAAGAAAATCTGTTTTTTTCACAAATTACTAAAGAATCATTTTCCACGAGAGACTAAGAAATAATAATAAATAATTCTTTACACTTACATAGCGCTTTTCTGGACACTCCACTCAAAGCGATAAAACAAAAACAGAAAACCGATAACGGGACTCTCCTCCACCACCTGGATGATGCAATGGCAGCCATAGTGTGCCAGTACGCTCACCACACATCATCTATCACTGAGTGATGAAGCCAATTCATAGATGGGGATTATTAGGAGGCCATGACTGGTAAATCCCAATGGGAAATTTGGCCAGGACTCTGGGGTAACACCCCTAATCTTTTTAAAAAAGACCCTGGGATTTTTAATGACCACAGAGAGTCAGGACCTCGTTCCTCTACAAAACACATGGCCTTTTTACAGTATAGTATCCACATCACTATGCTGGGCCATTAGGACCCACACAGACCATAGGGTGAGCAACCCCTACTTGCCCCTCTAATACCTCTTCCAGCAGCAACCTGAGCTTTCCCAGGAGGTCTCTCATCCAGGTACTGACCAGGCTCACACCTGCTTAGCTTCAGTGGGTGCCAGTTGTGAGTTGCAGGTGATATACTGTAGCTGCTGGCTATAAAAGTCTGGTACACAGTGTGTACAATTTTGTTTCTGTATAAAGTGCAAAGTCATTACCATTAAAATGACTATTTTTTGTTTAATGAATTAGTTACAAAACTATTTCCAACTCTAAATTTTAATTTAAGTTTAGAGGGAGAGCACAGATACTACTCTGTTTTGTGATGGTGTACTGTACCTTTTGTCCATCATGCTTTTTGTAAAAGTAAAACATTTTCATTTACTTGACTTGTTGCTAATTTATTTTCAATATTTTCTTTTAGTACATTGTTGTGCACTGTCCAAATGTGTCATCCTTTGAAAGTCACCCATTCACTCTGACAGTGGTAAGTTGTCTTTCCAAAACAATCTATTTGACTCAGGAAAACTGAATTCTTTCATTGTACTGTATAGAGAATCTAGGAAAAGGGTCCTGTTCAGATATGTATATGTAGCTTTTAGAAAGCTTCATGTGTTTGTCACATCATATACAGGACATTCTAAGCAACTCTTTTAACATTTAACATTTTCCTATCTAAAATCTAAAAATGAATGTAGTAATTTATTTAAGAATGGCATGGCACATAAAGACCTTACTATTTACAGTGTCTTAGCCATAGAGCATAACCGGAACTGTTTTCCATCCAATAGCATTAATGTGTTACTGTACAATTGTTGTCTTAAATTTGACTGGAAAACTATCACATAAGCAAATTTTCAGTAAATCTACATACCAGATTTGAAATATAAATAGCCTCATTTTAAGCAATGCTGTATAATAGAGAAAGCCAACACATGTACTGGCAATATTATTATTAATTTCCATTCCTCAAAGTATGCTTATTTTTTCTTATTATTTTGTCACTCAGCAAGTAGGGTTGTAAAAGAAAACTATTGGTCCTCGTTCTAGCAATTAATATCTGTAACTGATAGGTAAAAGTCTGAGATCTTGATCGATTTTAACAGTATTTTTTAATTCAAAACAGAGATTGCCAATGAATTAATGCTAGTGTATACATACTGTCACTGTTTAATTTTTAGGTCCAACATTGCTGTTATGTAGGTTTTTTGTTTGGCATTGTTCTGAACTGCGTGGGCTGTATTGTATGAAAGGAAGTGATTTAAATTGTTAGCAGATTTAATCCTAACTGCTTTTCCCCATCTTTTAACAAAATGCCTTTTGGGTGGGCAATGACTGTGTGTTTTAGCAGCCAAACATCTTTTGCCTTCATTTCTTCCAAAACAAAAGAGTGTTGTACAGCCATTTGAAGTGCTGTGTGTTATACCTCACTATGGATTTTTGGAACTAATCCCTGTTCTTTATGTAGGAGCACAGAAAACTTCAAAGAGAATCTACAATGTCTAAAACTGGCAAGCAAGTCTTCAAACTAGTTTCATATAAATCAGAAAGCAGCCATAAACCAAGATCATTCGATACAATGAATTTCTTATTTTTGGTAATAGATTTCCTTAGTTGGACATCAAACATTAAAATTTGTCAGTATTATGATCTGAGAAAATGATCAGAACTTGTTTAACTCTCATCAAGGCTCTAGTCTCATATGTTACTGCAACAAAAAGCCTAATTATAAAGCCTGACAAACACTTGTTGCCGATATGTTGCCTTATAATGACCTTTAAAGCTATAAAAAACATGGTGCTGCATCTATGGCCGTTTATATTATTTTTAGGTTGCAGGTGCCCATTATCTTATTGTGTCTTGTCAGTTCTGAAAAGAAGAAGAAGAAACCAAACCCTTTCAGGACCATAGCTAACTGCAAAAGTGCATGCCTGAGCAATTTCTGTTGTGACTGATCTTATTCTAAAGAGCTTAGTGCGTGCTTGGCACATCTTAAGTCACCTTGTCTAAGCCGATCTTTTTGGTTTTGGGTTTGTTTGACTCTGTGGTTTTCTCTACACCTTGTATTTAACCTTGAATAACTGTATTTCTTTATATTAAAAACGAAATACGTTTGTATTAGCCAGAATTATAATCATGAAGCAGTTTCGTCACCTCTTCACAGTGCAAGAGTTTCTGCATTGTAAAAGGGGTTGAAACTGCATACAAAAGAGGCAAGTGATAAAACAGTCTTGTTGCCTATCTTTACAGGCCCTTATTTCAGGAAACCCTATATTTCCCGGTTTCCTGTTGGCAGACAGTGTTATTGTCCCCTAGGGGGGTGTCTGCTTTCCTTCAGTTACTCAGTCTCAATGTCCGCAGGTAGCCTCCAATTACAGTACAAACCCAGCACTGTTTTTTAGCCATCATGTTCCCAGAACCCTCGGATTTGTCTAGAAACCTTCCAGCATTAGGGAAAGAACAGCAAAGAAGCTCAAAATCCCATCTGTCATTGGAAATGTGTCAGACGGAGATCAAAATGCCATCAGAACATTGCAGAATTCCCAATTGCAGACCTGGTGCAAAGCTAATGAGTCCCTGTAGAATAAGTTAGTCTGGTATGTATCATGCTGTCACCACAAGCAGTAGGAAGATTTTCCAAATTAATAAGTTTATATATACACACTTCCAAGAGACAAGTTGTAGAAATGAATGGTTGGAAATCAAATAATCGCCTATTGTTTTTGCAAGCTGTTCATCAGCAGTTAGGCTCCTTCTATGGTTTTTGTCACTGTTTGACATCCTATTATTGGTGTTAGACATTCTATTATTATTAGCCTGAACTTTCTCTTTCATTTTACTCTGGAAGGAATTGTGCTTTTCTACAACTCCTTCATTTTATTAGGCCTTCGTCATGTCTGGTTGTATGACTCACCTTTGGCATGTTTTGCATTTCAGTGTCCAACAGAAAGGAAAGCAACATTTGGCATCCACCTTCGGGTTGTCGGAGACTGGACTGGTGAGTATAGCACTGTCATAAACCACAAAGATCCCCAGACAGGAGAGAGGAATGGATTCCGTTCTGAAAGCGCCTTGAATTAATTTGGATTAGGGAGGACTGGAATATATCAAATCTCTGTGGGGTCTATGAACTTATTGCAGTCCCCCACATCTGCCTGAGACATTAAGACTAGTATCCCCAATTACAAGCTTCACAAGAGTATGGGAAAGGCTGCTTGCTTGTATTTTATTATTGAAGGAATAAATTCCTAATAAACGTACTGTAGGTATAAACATGGTTGGAATCGGATGCTGTCTTGAGATTTTATTTAAATGTTCATGCATAACACTGAAAGTTTGTAACATGCAATGTAAAAAAAACATGTCATGCAGTCATTCTGCTGCTTCAAAATCTGGTTAAAGTATTAAGCATCTGCTTCACTTTGTAAATTAAAAAATACTAAACGGTAATTGATTCACAAAGGGAGGTATTTATAGTCCTTAATTGCATGATCTGTAGTATTGGAGTTCCTCTGCATGGCTGTTTATTTAAGATGAAGTAACTAAATCACTGTTCTGCAGAACACCTTTTAGTTTTTTCCATAGCACTGTGGAAGAAGTAAATCAAGCAATAAAAAAATCTATTTGTAAGTGAATTAAAGAGATTGCAGTTTTCTCACATTTATGTAACTTAATCTGTGCTTAATCTTAATCTTAATTAAAATGAATCAATATAGGCTTCCATAATAATGAATCCTGTAGGTCTACATAACATAATGAGGCTAAGGACAAGCATATTATCGGAGTATACAAAAATATTCCTTTTTACTTTTACTGTCTTTTCATGATTCAAATGACCATGAATTATTTTAGAACAAACACGCCATTAGTGTATTTTACAATTCATATACAGTATAGCTGGATTCTCTTGAGATGTTTGAAGAAAACACTTTTTTTGAAAGGGTGGTTTATAGAAAGTCTATATGTAATGTAAATTAATTGATTTACATTATATTTAATGAAAATGATGGCTGAGATACTGGAATGTTTTCATTATTGCTCTTTGGAACAGGTTACTTTAATACTTTGAAGATCTACAGAAACTTAAGAGTAATACTAAATTTGTTTTGCCTTTGCATTGCCACAGATTAAAACTAGAGGTGAATTTATCCTCTGACTTTTTAATTTCCATTTCTTTTATGTTTCTTTTGTATTGTCTTTGTCATTTTTTGTTCTTAGGCAGTTTTGTTATCCAGTAAACGTCTGGTGGGGAATGGTGTGTTCTGTAAATATGTTAGTGACGTTGGAAATGTTTGTTAGAGAGAACATTCTGAACAGACCTGCTGCAAGCCTCTGCTGATTTATTCCATTCGTTCAAACATTTTTTTTGTGCAAAAACCTGTTCTCCATACCTTTATCTTAATTATTTCTATCATATGTGTTTGTTTTAATTTTCACAGCCAGATTTCAAGAACTGTTGCTTCCAGAATCTAATCTAGATTTGGAGATTTTGCCCATAGTGCAGCAAAGAAGGTTCCCTAAGTAAGTACAGTGATGTATTACTTGACAGGATTTGCTAGTCCCTTAAGTGAGTCCCTGTGGCAAGGGCTATAATTGTTAAGGTTCAATACAGGGCAACATTACTTCTGAAAGTTTGTTGTCATACTAATATTTAGAGCCCGTTCTTCCAATTTTAACATTGCTAGACACTGTGTCACCCTGCTATAGGAGGTGCCCTGATGAGATGTAAAACTGACTTCCTGAAACTACAAGACTGACTTCATTAACAAACAGTAGATTCTTGCCATTTAATAACAGTGTGTTGCACAGGCACCAACTACTGACTGAACTCGCAGTGGGAGTTTTTCTATCTTATGTCAACATAGTGTGGAAAGGAACTTCAAAGTAAGCAAGGATAAAGATTTGAAGGTTTAGCAAGCTTTTATGCAGCAATGGTGTACGGGTGAAAGTTCTAGACTCGGAAATGGAAGGCTTTTCTTTTAATTTTTGCATAATTTTGTATCCTTTATTTCATTCTGTTGATGTCTGATTTTGCACAACTGTTGTTTTGCACATTACCCATTACCTGTTGTTATTTTGCACATTGTTGTCTCTGTCTTTTCTTACACAATTGTATTGTTGTTTTCTGTACTACTCACTGTCTGAGAGCTAGCTAAATAGCATTTCATTATACCATATACCTGTGTATGAGTATAAGGACAATAAACTGGAACTTAAGTAGTAGTAATTTTTAAGCTAAGTTCCTTTTTTTTTACTCAAGGTCCTCAGGCAGTTTTTAAAAGGGTTAGGTGTATTAATTCCAGTGTCTTGGCTAAATTCTGTGCTTGGCTTGTACAGTCTAGAATTCCTAAAGTTCTTCCTTATTTCATTTGGTGAAGCAAATTCTTGCTTCTCCACCTTCATCTACAGTGTCTTGTGGCTGTGATGCCTACTGCTTGACACCAAGGTGAGAGCTGCACTTCACTGGAGGATGAAGTGGTCTGTTCCCTCTTTGGGAAGAAACGTTTTCTATAAATATAAAGAATTAAAGTGCAACTAATTGAAACCTATACAGAACAAATTAACTAATTAGTCTACCAGTTCTTCGCAAGAAGCTGAATGAAAAAAAACAGTCCAGGGAAGACAGCAAAAATATTTGTAAATTTTAATTCCTTTCATAATTGATTAGCCAACCTTTCCTCTTCAGTTTAACTTTTGATGTCAAACGGAGAGTGACAGCTGCCTGCAGGGTATTGCTTAGCTTGTACTGGGTAGCACAAAAGGAACGCTTTTGTAGTGAGCAGTGATGAATCAAGTCAGAACTGGAATACAGCCCAGATCACATGTCAGCAGTTGTCTTACTGTTGTTTTTGCTTATCAGCTTGGCATTCACTGAACAGCAAGTTATTCATTTTTCTGTGTGTGTTCTATGTATTTGCATTAAAAACATATGCATGAAGTACCATTTTTAGCCTTTAAGTGAAAGGTTTGTATTACACACCTAATAGTTTTAGTCTACAGATCACTGTAGTATGATATACTGTATTATGTGCATGCAATAATGCATGTATGAGTGTACTTATACTGTATCTTGAAACATCTTGAGTGTTAATAAGGTCACGGCTGTAATACAAAGATAAAGCAATAATTTAGTCTACAAACATATCAGTAAAATATTGGAATTTTAAAATGTTGACCCATTACGTTTACCTCAGTATAGGTGCTAGATGTTTAAGAATTCAGAATTCAGAAGATGTTCAGAATTGCAATATCTATATAAAAATAAAAATGTGTTTTTATAAACTTAGCCATCTAATATTGTTCAAATGATGACTATGTTGACATTGAGAAACCAGCTCTGAGGTGTTCAATTACTTTTTCATTTACCAGTGTGGCTACTGTCCTGTGAACAAACTGTGCTGTATTAAACCTGGGATTTCAATAGCTCCTGAGAGTGACTGAAAAAACATTTTGACTTCAAAGTACTGTCTACTCTTACACATCAACTAAAGTGCAAAATTCTTTCATTTGTAAGGAAGGTAACTGAAGACCGTTATTTTTGTAAATCGAGTTCTGAATATGGTTGTCCCCAATAAAAAAGAGCAGAGTCAGAGGTTAAGACTTTGACCTGTGTTTGGACACCCCCCTCAACACACCGTTGCATTTTGCTGACACTGTAGAGTTGCTTTCTTTTCCTTCGCTTTGTACTGGCAAATTGCACAATGGTAACAACTTCCATTGAATAATTGGGGCAGAAAACAGGAACAGCTGTAAACTTTCCATAGCACTTGATTGCTTTGAATAAGAGCACAGTTAGGACAGTTTGTCCAGCTGCTCACAGCTGGTCTGAAAATGTGTTTTTGACTGCTGATGAGAACATTATGAAATATTAATGGATGTAGTCAATCAGATTATTTGATTCCCAGATTAAACTGCAGTTTATATTAATCTGGTAATTATCCTTTCTTTAAATTGTATACACATGCATTGTGTACGGAAATGACCAATTGCTAAGGAGCATTTTTAAGCCTGTTGTTTGTTAAATGCAGCCTGCATAATCTCATTAGGCTTTTTAGCAATGCTTGTGTTATGTCTTGAGCAATGAGTGATGTTCTTGACCTGTTCTTTGCCTCATCAGATTCTTTATGCTGTAGTGTGCCAAATGTCACACGCTTGTCTTCAAAGAAGCAAGATGCATACAGACCTGCATGATCACGTGAAAAATGTCCAGTTAGATCTTGATTCACATTTGGTCTCAAGTGTTTTTTGGTGTGATGTTTTGTTGTGATGTAACTCTTTTACAAGAGTTATTTTGTAACTTTTGCTAGGTTTTGTAGGTCCAGAAGATTTTTTTAATGATTTTACTTTTAAAACTTCTTCTTATAATTTTCTTGGTATTTTGTGGGCATTCGAACTTGAAAGGAGGGTGCTTTTATTTTTTTAAAAGACATGGAGCAGTTTTTATTTTAAGTTTTGTGTGTCCTGCAAGTTCACATGAACACCATTTAGAAAGCTGACTTGACAGACAACGGAACAGCTCTAAAACATATCAGATGCAGGGTTACTGTCAACTTCCAGTGATAATCATATCCATTAAGAGCAGATTATTTTCCTATATAAACTGTTCTCTCGTATGCAACGCAATGCCTAGTTTCATTATGCCTTTATAAAGTGTTATTTCCAGTAACTTTGCTAAAGTATTAGCAATGTTCATACATTAAATATAAATGTAGAGAACTACAAGTTGATTATGTCAATAAAATAAAACCCAGCCTTTATCCCATTTAAAAATTCAGGAACGTTTCTGAGTTTAATTTAAAGTAAGTCACCTACATAAACAAAAGCCAGCTCTTAAGCACTTAAATTAATTAAGAAATATTTGTTCTAAGCAAAGTCTGAATTCAGACATCCATCCCAGGTTTAAAGTGGAAATACTCTTGGTGTTTTTTGAATAAACACTGTTTCATCAATCCTATCATGTTTGAGGCAGAAGGTGTTATATTTTCTGTCAGTTTTCAATTCCTGAGTTCCAGAAACAGCCTTATAAATCTACCTCTTGCATTGCTTGTTCCTTTTACCTTTTACGCTGTGTTCATCTGCTGCCTCTTTAACTGAGAGGAAGTTTAGATAGCCCTCCCCTATGTAGTCTGTTTCTTCTCTTCTTCAGGTTGTACATAGATGGGCCTTTTGGGAGTCCATCTGAAGAAGTGTTTAACTATGAGGTCAGCTTGTGTGTTGCTGGAGGAATAGGAGTCACTCCTTTTGCTTCGGTGCTCCAAACCCTGCTGTAAGCTGGATAGCCTACTACTCTAATATTGAGTATTTCTGAAATCTATGTTTAGGCTAAAAATTGTCAGCCTGCTTATACTCTGTTTCCGCATAGCTGCATGAAAGTATTTGTATTGAATTACTTCCTATGAGTTAGACTGGAAACAGTGACTCATGCACTCCAGGTTAAAGCAAGTAAAAGCATGTACATACTTTTATTATGCATAAACTGCATATCTGAAGAACCCCACTTTAACAGAGGCCACATTTAAACAGCTTTGAAATGTAAATACCACATTGAAAGAATACCATAAACAAGTATTATAATACTCATGTTGGCATTTTCTAAAACATGAATATCATTCTGTTTTTCTCAGGGATGAATGGCAGCATTACAAACTGAGAAGGCTGTATTTTGTCTGGGTCTGCAGGGAGATACAATCATTCTATTGGTTTGCTGATCTGCTGTGTGCTTTACATCAGAAGGTTTGAAAGTTTAATTTGAAGTTTTGTCAAGCAGTCCTGTTTCAAACATTTGCATTTGACTTTCTACAGTAAACACAATATTTGCTGGGCAGTTACCAGTCTGTTGCCTATGAGAATTTGATAGAGCTATTTCTAATAAACAATACATACAGTTCTTCAATTCTAGTCTCCATTGTTGACTTTCCTTTAAAACTTTTAACTGCGGCTCATAGAAAGAATTCTTAATTAGCAAGAATACAAAGAATTTCTTAAGCTTACAAAGTATTTTCTCATGCATAATAATAACTGTTAATCGCCTCCCAAATACGGCTAGAGCAGACAAAGGCTTAATATTGTTACAAACAGTACAAAAAGTTCTGACATTTTACATGGTAAATGGTAACATAGCACCACCTAGTGGAAAACTCCATATCTTGCCTCGCTACGGTCTTCTGTTATTACGTTCAAAATGTTAATTTTGATTTTTTTTTCTAGGAAATGTTTGTTTAATTGTATTTTTCTGATAATTGTGTCAACATGGTTTGCAATAGACAGTTATATAGATAATTAACTTCAAAGGCCACTAGGTCGTCTCACGCGGGTTCTGTAAAGACTGCCCTATACTGTATGTGCAGACAGATTATTTTATGAAAACCTAATGACATGACGTTGCTTTGAGATATTTTCATGAGACAATCTGAATTTCCTATATTCCCCCAATCTGTTTGCTGATATTTTCTGTTGCAACAGCACTGTGTGTGTGTAGGCGAATGTTGTCTTTAATAGCTTCTGCTGCATTTTAAACTCAGCCTGCCACCTCTTATTTTCCTTTTAAATTCCACTTTAAATGCCTCTATTAGCAGAAAAGAGAATTTTTGCAGAAAGGAGTGGGTTAGTGAAATTATCCTTCAGCGTTTAAGAACTTATGGTAAGTAATGGGTGATAAAAGTATTCTGTTTTTTCATTGAAAGGGTAGTTTTGCTAGCATGCTTTATTAAACAGTAATGCTGAGTTGCTGAATCTAGCAGAGAGAGATGGAGGAGGTGAGAACAGAGAGCTAGAGCTGATTAAAACTGAGGCCCCACAGGACTCACTCCTCCATGAAGATGAAAGGTCATACGCTGACCAGATAGTTATTTTTCACTACCGTCCACTGGTTTCATTGTACATGGTGCTCATTGCTCTTTTCTCTTGTTATGAATATAGCTGTGGCAAGAAAACCGGCCTGACTACTTGAACATTAAGCTTTTTCTCAGCAAAGCGGAGGGGTTGCAGGTATGGGTGTAATGCTTGGAAAGTGAGCATTTTTGTGAGTTGAAGGGCAAGCAAAGGAATTAATCTTTTGTTAATATAATTAACATCCTTTGTAAGGATATTTGAGCTTTCATTCTTTCAGATACAAGTATGCAAGTATGTAGTAAATTAATGTATGATTCACACGATTTGAATCTGCATGTAATCTTAAATAACCATGGTGTTTTGAGTGGAATGTTTCAGACACTGTCATTTTATTTGTAAATGATATTTTGAGAAACTCCAAAGGAAGTGGTATGGTCTTAGTGAATCACCATTTGATTCAGTTATGTGTTTGACTTCTGTTCCAAAGTTTCCCAGTGGAAGGAATATTTTGTGTCCCTCTACTGTACCTGATTCTGTGATTTTAATGCACACTCACATTCTGAGTGTGTTTTTCTGGAATTCTAAACTGTTTGTACAGCTTGATTATTCATAAGGTCATGTCTGTACTGTTTCTGTTATTAAACACTGTCTGATGAAGCACTTTCTCTTATTATCCGGGTCAGTGTAAATCTCAAGAGTGAAATCCTTCACATCACTGTATTTGCTGTTGTTTTGAAAAATAAAACCACAGATGTCGTGGCTGGTAACTGGGTCATGAGCCAGCTCATTCCTGTATCCAGATGGCTGACTTTACATATTTCTTCTATTGAGAAGAAGATTCTCTTCTGTCTTGTGGTTTGTTATCTCCATCTGGAACACAAACACATTGCAGTATCTTCTGCAGTACATAGAAGAAGGGTGAAAAAGAGGTTGTAGAAGCATTTTAGGCAATATCATAAATTATGCATCCCTCCCTTCTTTGATGTGCTTTTTCTTTATATTCTATTTCTACCTTGTTCAATTTAATTGTCTATTTCTCCATTGTTTAGTGCAATGTTATTCTGCTTCTAAAGCACTTTCATAGTCATACTTATAAGAGACCTATCAAGGTCTCTTGCTGCAGAAGTATCTAAATACCACCCAAACTAAACAATCTGAAGCATCTTTAAAGTAGATCAAGTATTCAATATTGAATAGCACTAAATATATTATTTCTTTTAGGAAGTCCTCATGATTGTAAATGGTTAATGTGTTAAATGAATTATAAATATGCTTTTAACTAAAGGATGTTCATGTCCCTTTCCTTTAATTTGTTGAAATATTTTCACATGAAAATAACTGATTATATTTTGTTGTGATTGGAAGTTTATTAAGTAAACTTCTTTTCTTATTTTGTAAGTAACAGTATTAGTTATTTTGCTGAATAGATTTTGAATAATCTATCTAATCTTTACGTTGCTGAAATGTATTATTTTGTTTATAGAATATCAGGGGGGAGAGGTACAGAGCCCTGAACTCAAGGCTTCTCTTAGGAAGGCCCAGGTGGAAGCTTCTGTTTGAAGAGATTGGAAAATATAATCAGCAGTAAGTGGGCTTTTTGTGTTAAGCATCATGATGTTTTTGATACTTGATTGTATCACTGCAATTTTTTAATGTGTTTGTTATTTTGTTTTCTGTCAGTGTTGTTTCTGATTGATTGTTTCTATTCACAGGAAATGCATTGGTGTGTTTTGCTGTGGACCTAAAGAAATTTCTAAAACTTTGCACAAACTCAGTAACGCCAGCAATGCTTTTGGGACCATATTTGAATACAACAAAGAGTCGTTCAGCTGAAACAAAGCTTTTTTTAAACATGCCTTTCTTAAACTGAAGTGCAATGTGGAGATGGGCAATAAAAAGCTCTTTATCTTCAGCTCTGCTAAGAAAAAAAAACATTGGAGGATAAGAGGACAGCAACGTCATTCTGTTAAGAAGAAGACTGGAATTTTATACCTTAAATGGCAAATTCTGAACAAAACAATCATTTATCATTATAACAAAACATTATCATTTTAATCTCATCAACTGTATGCAAATTATCAACCACAATCTGCATGCACCCTTATGGGAAATATTAAGATGAATAAAAGTGGACTTCACAAACACTTTTATTTTAAAGTGCAATAAGTAGACTATTGCTGTTTTTCCAAAACATGAAAATCTTTGAATTTCTTAAAGGTCTATTTAGTATAAGATCTGTGACTCATTTCCAGGCTTTAAAAAATTAAAAATGTTTCTTTTAAAATAATTCATTCAAGTAAAATACTTAGGAAAAGTATTCCATTTGTAGTGTTGGTGTCTACTGTTGACTTAATTGTTAACTTGAGTTTTTGTTTTTTATATTGTCATAATATTGTGAAAGACTTGATTTCAAAAGCCATAGATTTCATTGTTACAGAAGGAAGAAACTTCTGTTACTAAACCTGGTTCATATCGGAAAGGTCATGTTTCATGTTCTGTTATTTAAAAAAATGAATATTATTAATTTTATACTGTTTTTCCCATAGGAATGGGCAAAATAAATAGTCAAATGTTTCCATCATATGATTTTTACCCTTTCTGGTCTGAATGATAAAAGCAGGGAAAAGGTACTGGATACTTCTATAAAGGTTTTGCATTTTTCTGGAGGAATTCTGTATAATGATTGTAGCCTTTCAGAATTTTGCTTATATTTAATCTTTGATAATATTTGCTATCGGATGTTTTTTTGTTTGAACCTTTCTTTACTTTTGTAACAGCAATTGTGTAGTTTTTTTCTAATTATAAATCTTTAATGTTGGCATAAACAGGGCAGTTGCCATTCATAAGTTTGCAAGTCATGCTCCTGTAATTCACCCAAAATATCAGGCAACATAATTTGGAAAATATTAAATGACTTTTCTTACAATGAATGTGCTGATGTATGTTTTACATTTCTTTTTCTACATACATTATCTAGAGAACTTATACATTCTTATTTTTCTTAAAACACAACAAAATAAATCATTTCTTTCCTCCCTGTTTTCTAGTTTATGTATTTTGTTACTCAAATAATTTTTAAGCGTCATTAATATGATATGGAAATGCCCAGTTATGTAGTCAGCTGTGAACACGTGATTTACCCCAGACCAAACAAAGCTTTAGTTGATCTTTTTATTAAACGTTTTCATTTTTTTAGTTTTTTTTTTGTTAACAGCAGAAATATGAAACGTAATTTTTTTTCACGTCAAGAATATGTTTAGAAAATACAACTCTTCGATACGAGATGCTTTGTGGAAGACCAAGAAAATGTGTGCTTGAAAAACTAGGGGAAATCAAACTTTTCCAGGATGTGAAGGAATGAACTAATACTGTACAATGTTGAATATGTCTGGGGGTTTTGCAGAAAGTATTGTAACTCCTTTGTGTGGGAACAAGACTGAACTCAGAAGAACCTCTTGATGCAATTAAAAACTACAGCAGGATCAGGTAAGTTAAAGGGTTCATATACTGTAAATCTATTGAAAACAGAAAATACCGTTATTTGTCAATGATCTCCAAATGATTTAATGTATAAATGCATTGTATACATTCAGTTTTGTCAGAACAATGTATAAAATGCCTCTTAGTCTTGCTTGGTAAACAGTGGATGACTGGTCCTAAGGATGCTCTTCGGTTTATCACAGTTGGCTCTGACTGTACTCAGCAGTTTTCCTCATCACAGGTTTGTCTGGTATGTGGTTGTGCTGTCCGCTTCACTGCTGCTGAGTAAAGGCTGTGATTCCCCAAAGGAACTTCTTCTCCTCCTTTTCTTTTTGCGGCAAGCTAGAGCCACTGACAAAGCCACAATGGCTGACACCAGTGCGCCAATTATCCCAGCTCCCAGAAGCCATCTCCAGATTTGTCGGGCTTGGTCAAGGTAAGGGCTCAGTAACTCCTGCAGGTACCTTTGCCCTTGAGGGGCAGAGATTGGGAGAGGAGAATTAAAATTAAAGACGATGTTGCATTTAAAGCATTTCAGATACTCATGATCAGGGCTCATTTACTTTGGTTAAAAATGGTCTGCTTTTAAAAGATGAAGAAAGGTTAAAGTTTTAAAGCATACTGTATCTAAGAACACCAGAAAGTTTAATATGGAGAGGCAATTCAGCCCACCCAGCTTGGTTGGTTGCTAGTGCCAAGTTCTATATGGTATTAGAAATTCATTTAAGCTGGTGAGAATAATACTGCCCCCTGTTGTTATAGCAAATCATTTTGAAGAAAGCTAAGGAAAGTTAATTGGAATGCATTGAAACCATAAAAAGTACATTTGCAGAACTGTAGAATATTGTTTACCTGTATTAACCCCTAAATCTACAACTGTCACCTTACCTAACCTTTACAAACGGTCTTTGCAGAATTATCATTATTGGACCGTACAGTACAATATATCCCCTTCTTGTGAATCTTGAAAGTCTCACATGAAATCAGCTTATAAAACAGTAAGGGTCATTTTAATAGCAAATTTGAAAGTGAATGAATCAGTAATGCACAATCCGAAGCTTCAGTTGTAGATGCAATACATTCTGTGCCAGTAGCTGAGGGGTTTAATTAACAGAAAGACGTGCTCAATGTTCTTGTGCAATGGTAGATGCTAGCACATTGAGGTGCATTTCTGATTTTACGTACCACACACAATATGCACTTTTCACCACCATCTCAGAAAAATGACAGTGCTTACAAAGCAGAACAACCAGTTATTTTATTTTCTCGGGAATGAGAAAAAAATAATTTCAGGGGAGTACTGTGCAGGAAATAGAGAAATGGTTAATGGATCACATTTTCCAGAACACTGTTCAAGAGAAATAATTTATTTCATAAGTATGCAAAAATGCCTTGCTATTGTTTCAGATTTTTACTGTAAAAAAAGACTCACCTGGTTCCAACATATAGGCATAATCATATCCCAGTTCTTTTGAAGAAAGAAAATAGTCTCCATTTCTGTACAGAGGCATGAAGGGTACCATGTAGTATCCATCATTGTGTCCAATTGGAGCATTGGCAGTAGGGTAAGCAGATTTTGGCGGATTGTGTCTTCTCAGCCACTGCTCAAAGATGCTAAACATGAGGCAATGAGAAACAGAATCTTAAAGTTAACAAACTGTTAGCCAGAAGTGTTCCCAAATTATCCGTTGATCAATAAAAACATTCTAGTGACAGATCATCTTGTGAACAACTGCTAGTGTGTACAGGAGATATTACATAATAAAAATAATATTTCACTATTGTTGATAATAATGTTCTATAATTAGTAACATTACAGTAACTACAAAGTCATAAGTCTTATTTTTTATTTCCAAAAGTATTGTTAACCAAAGCTGCTTATTTCACTGAGGAGAAGTCCTGTTTAACCTTTGAAAATACAACTACATCCTAACAGCAGAGAAAACAGTGAGTCTAATTTGGTGGAAATGAAGCTGGCCTCTTAAATATATAAAAGAAGCAGCAGTTAGAAAAGCACTGTATTCCCCAGACATGACAAATGACTTCCCACATCTAAGGAAACAGCACTATTTGAATATGGAAACAAAGCCACTTGGCATATAATAATGGAACTACGTCAAGGTCAAAGACATTAAAGTTTCATAATATTAAAACCTGACAGACTTTGATGTCTAACTACATTCCAAAGAACTAGCTGTGGTAGTTATGCAAACCCCTAGAAGTCTGTTGAGTTAAAATTAGGGCAGAGAATAATTTGAATTACTTTGATGTGCAAGCTGATATCAGCTAATTGTGTGTATCTAAGTCTACTGTATGTGTAAAGCCCAGCTAAGGGGGGGATACACCAGATGTTTTAAGATTTACACATTCAGAAATATTTCCTTTCTTAAAAAAATACATAGAACATATATCTAATTGTTTATGCATATTTAAAACCGCTGCAGAAAGCAGAGAATTACAAACACCTCTATCCCAATACTCCCTTATGTTAAACATGCCATTGAAAGAAAAAGAATGGGTATTTACCTGTCAACAAATGCATGATGTATCAGAAATATGGGATCATTAGCTGAGCCTTGAACTGAAGACATGGAACCATTCATAAACACATGAAGTGAATTATGCATGTTGCTCTGTAATGTGGTAGCTATGCCGTCACTTGGATTTGCAAAACCTATATAGGTGGGAAAAAGAATAAACTGGTACTGTGTATATCACCAGTTTAAAGAATTGCAGATGCATCTTGTACAGAAATTATAATTAAGCTAATTTAGCAGGTTTACCCTTTGTATAGTTCATAATTTAATTATATTTAAAAGACAAACCTATCACATAGAATAACCATGTTTAAAGTTATGTTTATTGCTTTCAAATATTTTCCCAAAAATGTAGAAATTAGCTGACAGAAACTTCATAATTTCTTGTTTTCTAAACATGTTGGTCAGTTCAAACCATATCTGAACTCTGAATAAGACAAAAATGTAGTATTTGCCTTTTGCAGGATTGTTACCTGCAAAGGTAAAAGGATAGAAACCATGGTTCACATTCATGACTAAAACCTCATAAAGATGTAGGTTTAATCCTTGAAAGTATAAACCATGCACATTTTCTATGGAAAAATAAAGTGTGTATAATAATAACCTTAAAATACTTCTATCCAGCTTAGAACTTCAGAAACTTAACAGAGATAAACGTAATGGAAGTAGCTAATTATGGATTATAAGAGGGGCTACTTACCTTCCAAAGTATTTCTGAAACTCAGGTTTGCAAACCTGTTCATTGGTTCAGTTTCATAATCTGTTAGACTCAGGCAGAATTCCACTTCTGCAGATGTAGGTAGCCTGGGCATCCTGTTCCTGTCGTGGTTACCAGGGTTACGGAGAATGGGCCCTTCAGCAGTGCCGTTACATAATATCTCTAGGCTGTTGTACACCTCTGGTCTTGTACAAACTACCTGCATGAACATTACATTTTGTTAATTATTAATTTCAAATAGCACTTGGGAAAAACCGGAAAAAAATGTTTAATAGGCCGAATTCAAGGTTAGGGTTTACAAGTGTTTGAAAAATCGTTTTCGGGCCTTAATAAAAGGACCATTCATAAAACCCTAGGGCAAAAACTACCAGGTTATGTAATATAATTAGCATTAAAACAGTAACCACAATTCCCTGGAAAAGAATCAAGTGGTACGAACAAAAATATTTAAATCTTTGAAAATGTACATAAAGGACATTCATACAGAATATACATTAAAGCAGGTAAAGATTGCTGAACAAATCAACATTATTGTAATTATTTTTTCTAAAATTCCCGTCATAACTCATAATTCAATCATTACTAACAAATCAGTTTTTTTTTTTCTCCCACGCATATGTATGTAGTGTACAAACGCCTACAGTAATAATTAGGTAACATCACTGGCCTCCTCAGCTAAAAAACAGCATGAATGCATGAGAGACTGGCAAAGACTATAAAAGAACGGAATTTGAACGGAGTATTTAGGGTGCAGAAACGGTAAACATCCCTTTCAAATCTTGTTAAGTGTGATTAATAAAACTTTCACAATCCAAACCGTTTCACCCCAGCCTCCTGGTCAGATTGTCTCAGGCATTCCTCGCTGTAGATGTACAGTACTTGATCAAAACTTAGTTTCTTGTGGTATTTTCTTGTGTTTTCTAAGGTTTTCTTGCATGTCTCACTTTACGAAAAGCAAAACGATCAAATTAAAGCAATAATTACGACATTATCAGAAGCTACAGTAGATTGTGCAATATGTTACAATTGTCGTTTTCTGTAACTGACACTCTAATTACATTTTACAATATCTAAATTAACGATTTTGTTTCTCCTGTACAAACTATTCAACTAAATTTCCATGGATTTTGAATTTTCTTGAATAATACAGTGTCCGAACAATATACCTTTTGTGGAGGGTGGGTGTAACACAGCAATTAAACATCAATTTAAAGCTGAAACGAATTATAAAAGAAAGCACTACCTTCCAGGATGAGAAAACTGAAGCTGGGCTTAACATATTGGGGATGGTGGGATTGCGACTTCCCATTAAATCATCTGTGCACACATCGCACTCCTGAGAATCTCTCCAGTCCCAGTATGGAATTGTGAAATCCTGGTCTCCAGTTAACTTTCTGATCTCGTTTTCCCAGTGCAGCAGGTAGACTCGATGCCATGGCAAGAACGCCGCCGATTCGTGGGCGAAGTCGATGTCTGTCCAGACATTGTTCGGTCCGCCCAAGAAGGCATCCCGGGACGCATAGTAGTGCATCCATACAAACAAGTCATAAACACTGATCTCCGCAAACAAAGGATTCGACCCGTTGTTCATCTCGGCATAAGTGCCTGTAGAAATCACATAATCTTTGCTGATGGTATTCTTAGCTAAATTCAGGTAAGCAATGACTTTGTTTTTTTCCGCGGACGTGAGCTGGAAGATATTTCTCCTGATTCGCTCTCTCCTCTGGCCACAATTAGCCCCAGAGTAGCCAAACTTACAGTCACCACAGTTGAAGCCCATGTAGTTGGCGGCACACTGACATGTCCGGTTGTAGAACACCAAAGGCCATCTCTCTCTGTCATCGATCCCGGAATGGGGAAACTGTGGCCCGTTGGGGAGGTCAGTGATGGACACATCTTGACAGGAACCTCTACCGGAGAGAGCGCCGCAAATTGACCCGTCTCCTTCCCAAGTCGGGCAACATGATTTGCTCAAGAGGGCTTCTGCAGTGCTGCAGGCTCGGGGAAACTGTTGGTATGTAGGGTGCAACAGCTGAAAAATACTAAAAAAGACTAAAAGCAACATTGCTATTTAGTACATTAAAAGAGTGCTCGCATATACAGTACTCATGCACCTTGAACAATCACGACGAGTTAAAGAAGAAGAAGAAGAAAAAACTTATTCCCAACTTATACCCCCCTCTCACTTTTTTTTTCCATCACGTGCTTTGGATAACATTTTCAGTTCTTCTCTAATTTGTCTCGGATCCATAACCCCCCTTTACTCCTGGGATAAGGGACGTTAATGTGAAAAGCATTATCTGAAAATGCTTTTAATTTGTGAATTTATGTGATCTGCCAAAGAGAGAAAATATGCATGCAGTTAGTTTTAAAACTGTTATTGTTGCTAATAAACTCGAATTAGCTAAGTGCTACTGTAAACAAAAGACAGTCTTGTGAACATAATTTAATAAGCACGCCTAATAAGAAAAATCAATAAACCAATAAAAGTGAATAAAGGAGAGCTAAGAGAATGTGAACAGAAATTCTGACATAATTACAACAATTATGTACACATTAAGTGCAAGGTTTTACATATTTAAATACAGGAACAAGTAGTAGGTTTATTCCATGCTGAAAAGAGAAGAGAGAAAACACAACATTTCGGCTGTGAAGCCTTCTTCAGGTGTATAGAAACCTATTAGGTTTGTGGACTTCGCCCACACACCTGAAGAAGGCTTCACAGCCGAAACGTTTTCACACTTCTCTTTTCATCATGGAATAAACCTATTACTTGTTCCTTTTTCCTTTGCAGTCTACGCATGCTGATGCAGCTACCCACCTGAAGTACTTCTTCTTTACTTTAGGTAAAGAAGTACTTTAGGTACTTCTAAATAGTGTAAAACCCCTAAACGTGACGTATTTGCATTGCTAATAACAACAGGTGTGCTGCCTTAATATAATTTCCCATGTGTGTGTAACTTAATATGTAATAATCAAAATATGAAGAAATGAAAAAAATCTCAAGTATTTTATATAATGAATGTGTGTGTGATGTAAGCTGTACTTTTGCATTTACAGATTTTCTAAACTGTAAATTTGAACATTGTTAAATTATTATTATTACTAAATATGACTATTTTACTGGCTTTTCCGTAATATGGAAAGCAGTGTCTCTCCTCTATTATTCATATGGTTTAATCACTGATTAAATTAATGTTTTACCATAAACCTTTTTTTTTTAATGAAATGATCTTAAATTAAATAAACATCAGCTAGACCTATCCTGCAACTGCTAATCTCAGACCTTCCTTAAGGTCTTCTTGACAACCCCTAGTAGGGCTCGTAACAGTTTTCCGATAAAATGTTTTATCTGCGTTCGCCTTCAAACTGTGTTTAAAATTCTGGGAAAGCATTTTCTGTTCTCTATGTGTGTGACTTTATTTCTTTCTCTGCTCTGTGTGTGTGACTTTAACTGCTGACTACAACTGATAGTGAAGCGGAGACAAAAATGAATGAGTTCTTTGAAGTTAATATGTGATGGCACCATTTATCACGTGTTTCCAAAAGGCCATGAGCTTTTAGTGTTACAGGCAGTGTGCTAACTCTGGATCATAAGCCTATCACATGGCCCTGTGCTGGGGCACGAGTTACAGCTAATCCTCCTTCAGTAAAAGCACCAGCAGAGGAATGAGCGTCACAGGATTAAATGTGCCATGGGCTCTTTATAGATTCATTTCTATATGTTCATATCTAAAGGTTTCCTTTTTTAAAAAAAAAAGATTGTAGCCTATTATCTTTAACTGCACCGAAATGAAACATCTTAGTTTTAGACAGATATCTCATAATTTGATTCACACTCCCAGACAGAATCAGAAATACCATGTCAGTTACCAACTTTCAGGTTTTTTTCTATATCAGATTGCTAGCGTTGTGTAGGAAGAGAGGACAAGACATGTTGTTATTCTGTTTTAAAAATATGCGTGGGAAGAATAGGTTAGCAATGCTTAAAAAGATGAGATGCACAGTCTGCATTCAGCGGACAGAGTAAATTGATCTGCTCTTGATGGGCAGCATCATCAGTGTGGCCCACAATGCAAGTATTATTTGAACCAATCAGGTATTTTTTTATTGTGGTACCTCTCGCAGATGGGTCTGGTTTTTGGAACAGCTTGTGATAATATGGTGTCCTAAGTCAGCTATTTTCAATTGCACATTTATATAAGCAGTACACCTGAAGGTAAATACAAAAACTGTGTAGTACACTATATAGCCTACTGTACCTCAGTGTTTTGACTACAAATCTTAAGAAAGGGCAAATGAAGAGTAAGTACAGTACAGTATAGAACTGCAACTTTCTGCATATAGTGTGCTGTTTTAGTGGCAAATATTTCTGTATATTTGCATAAATGCAATTCAATTTTTTTTAAACACCTAAATTTTTGGTAATACAGTAGCTTCATTATTAATTCGGAAGTACCTCTTCAAATAACCTATTTATGTCAGATCATTATTTAATGCACTCGTCTCTGTCTCCCAGAAGGTGGCAGTAGGATGTGCACTGTGCTTTTCAGTTACCCACTTGAGATGATGTTAAACCAGTGTGGTCTCAAAAAACTACTTCCACTGGTTTTGGAGCTGATTTCCTTAGTACATTGAAAATGATAATTATTTTTTCTAAAGGTTTTTCAATAATCCTAAAATAATCATTTGTAATGTTGAGGGCATTAAAAAGCATCAGAGAAGCACGGTACATTTTGCATTGAACTCAATGTAATTGATACTTTAAAAAAGTATTACACTGACAAAAGTCTTTGGCATTCTGTATGTATTTCTCTAATTGCTTATTAATGCTTTACTGAACTGTTAAACCACAATTTAAAGTTATTTTAGTTTATTCAAGCAAATTATGTTTTGAAGAAACTCCCCAACTTGCTATTCCTCTCTAATTTGTCCAGTATTTGTAGCCTGCATACAGTATAAGCTTGGAACTAAAATGTTCTTCAGTTTATTAAATATAATTGAGCTTCAGAACATGAAACAGTGAGATGATATCAAAGCAGATACCGAACAGCATGAAATAATATTTCAAATATTTTGGTATATGGCTGTCACTATCTGACAAATTGAAGAAGTGTTTGATGACTCTGGCTTTTATTTAATACCACTGCCTTCTTCCCATTCCTTTCTGTCATGGGATACACGCTGCACATGAACTAAAATGGGGTCCCTACTTAGTGCTACTAGTCTGTCGATAATGGTTTTCTTTGTGCAAGACAAAAAAGAAAAGTCACACATGATGTTCCACTCTAAATACACAAGCAAAATATTTTTTGGTGCTTTGAGTCATAATAAAAAGTTGTTTGCAGTACCTGTGAAAAAATAAAATTAATTGTAATATCTTCTCCGAGTATAGTGTGACTCTAGCACAATCTCTCTTTTCCTCTTCAGACTAGTTCAAACCCATGTTCATTTATTCTGGTCCAAAACTCTTTCTACGGGTGAAATTTCCTGAGTGGCAGAGGTTGTGGGCTATAAGTACATGACATATTTACTTCTACAAGATTCACTAGGAGAGAGAACAGCCAGGAATTAGGCAAATAAAGGTTTATTGACCTTTTAAAGTTACAATAGTTTAACTTAACAACCTACTTGCTATGTCCAAGGGGTTTAACAAGTAGGTTACTCTTTTTCTTAAAAAGAGTAGGGGTGTAACCCCGGCATCCTGGCCAAATTTCCCATTGGCCCTTACCAATCATGGCCTCCTAATAATAGATAGATAAGATTTTATTGATCCTGAAGGGAAATTGAGGTGTTACAGCAGCCCAGCCCAAGACAAGCAAAAACAGATATCAGAATAGACTAAAATTAAAATAAGTACAGCCTTATAAATAAAATAAGTAATCCCCATCTATGAATTGGCTTAATCACTCGGTTCTCCTCCCCACTAATAGCTGATGTGTGGTGAGCGTTCTGGCAAACTATGGCTGCCGTCGCATCATCCAGGTAGATGCTGCACAGTGGTGGTGGTGGAGGGGAGTCCCCATTACCTGTAAAGCACCTTGAGTGGAGTGTCCAGAAAAGCACTATATAAGTGTAAGCAATTATTTTTATGAATTGGCTGAGGGTTAACCTCCTGGTCACAGCACAAGGAGGCAAGAACCCTCATGCAGAGTGAGGTTTGACCAAAGGGGCGTCTGCAGAGCTGGAGATGGGGTGGAGAAGGGAAACAAATGATGAATGTGAGGGAGAGGAGGAGCTAAAGTACAGTGTTTGTGGTGTTTGAGTGAGGAAATGATGTCGTGATTAATTATGAATTACAGACAGCTGAGTATGGTTGAACTTGGCTGTTGTCATCCCTCCTGACCTTTTGTGATAAACTGTAATTTAGAATCGAAATGTAATTTTTCATTCTGATGAAGGCAATATTGTGCTGGAACATCTGTGGTTCTATATACGATAGATAAATATATGTTTTATTTTGTATGAAGTGTGTACATTTTGTGACTTCTTTTTTCTTACACATCGTTTCTACACGGTTGAGCTGAGCCTCTAGTGCCTCCAGTGTATGGTTCACTCTTGGGTCTACCATTCACTCTTCAAGCACTCTTTTTGTGTCAGCCTATTTTCTTTTTAACTTAACATTTAGTGTTTCTTAAACCCTTGATAATTTGTTGAGTATGAATCCTAAGACACAGTGACTCTTTCATCTGCTGAGAAAGTAAATAAACCTGCTTCTTTCTTGGTCAATATTATACTCATGTAGACCATGTGCATAGCTGGTTACATACTGTACAGGATGCGTGTAAAATCGATAGAACACTATCCCTACAGTAGGAATATAGACATGTTGCCAACATTATTTGCAGTTCTCACAATTTATTTTTCTTTGGAATTTGAAATAATTAAAGATATGTATTTTTTTTTAAATAATACACGCTGTCCCCCTTTTCATGAACATTTTGTTTGATTCAAATATTTAACATTATTAATTTAGAGCAGCAAGTCTGATCAATATGACTGCAAGTGATATAATGCACATGAAAGTAACATTTAATGAAAACAATTTACCTATAGTAGAAGATTTTATTTCTACAAAAGAGAACAATGAAAGATAATAATTCCTTTGAATTTTCAAGCACCAGGTTCCTAATGTCAAATAATCATTTACATGTACT